AAAGCACTTTTTTGTATACTTTCTCTTCACTGAGAATTACTTTAACTCTATGATTACGATTTGACCTTTTACAGAACCCAAAGTAAACTATCAACTTTATTCAGAGAAATTCCAATTTTTCAGATATCTGATGCTGTAATGAAAGGATCTCAATTTTTTTCCAGCCTAAGTAATTATTCTCCCTGCTGAAGCTTTAACTGCCAAAGCATGTGTTTCAAATTTGTCCAAGTGTTGATCCCTCCTTAAGGTGCCCAGCAACATTTCGGCATTGGGTTGGAGTGCTGTAGAACTGGTAGATACCATTCCTTACACAATCAGACTGTGTTAGGACACGGAAAGAATTTGTACTGCTGTTATTATTACTTACAGTAGCTTAGCTATGATTTTTGCACATAAATATAAGGGGGGCAACTTTTACTGAGCCTCTTAATTAGGAGATCTTATGGGATAGCAGAGAAAAGAGCTCTTTATTTATCATATAAGCAGGATGACTATGGATCTATAGCCTTTTCTCACCCAGGTAATGTTTATCAAACTCAGCTGATACCCAACCATAACTTTTTTATTTTGTTTATTAAGAGAATAGATATTTTCACGATATATTTTTCATTTTTAAAATTTTTAAATAAATGAATACATCTTGACTCATTTCTTCCACCTCCCACTCCCCACCTCTGGCAATCACCAGTCTGTTCTCTGTATCTATGAACTTGGTCTTTTGTTTTGTTTTATTCTTTTTTTTTTTTAGATTTTTTTAAATTTTTATTTATTTATGATAGTCACACAGGGAGAGAGAGAGAAAGGCAGAGACACAGGCAGAGGGAGAAGCAGGCTCCATGCACCGGGAGCCCGACGCGGGACTCGATCCGGGGTCTCCAGGATCGCGCCCCGGGCCAAAGGCAGGCGCCAAACCGCTGCGCCACCCAGGGATCCCTTTTGTTTTGTTTTAGATATAAGAGGGATCATATGGTATCTGTCTTTCTCTGTATGACTTGTTTTCACTTGGCATAATGCCTTCAGGGTCTAGCCATATTGTTGCAGATGACAAGATTTCATTCTTTTTTATGGCTGGATAATATTCCATAGTGCATATACAGCACATTTCCTTTATCTTTTTTGTCCATTGATGGGCACTTAGGTTGTTTCCATGTCTTGGCTATTGTAGATGATTTTGCAATGAACATGCAAGTACATAGATCTTTTTGAGTTAGTGTTTTTGTTTACTTCAGATAAATACCCAAAAGTGGAATTGCTAGATCATATGGTAGTTCTGTTTTTAAATTTTTTTAAGATTTTATTTATTTATTCATGAGAAACACAGAGAGAGAGGCAGAGACATAGGCAGAGGGATAAGTAGGCTCCCTGCAGGGAGCCTGATATGGAACTGGATCCCAGGATCCTGGGATCACAACCTGAGCCGCAGGCAGATGCTCAACCACTGAGCCACCCAGGCATCCCTATTTTAAATTTTTTAATTAACCTCTGTACTGTTTTCCACAATGACTGCACCAGTTTTCATTCCCACCAACAGTGCATGAGGGTTTCCTGTTCTCCACAGCCTTGCCAGCACTTGTTATTTCTTGTCTTTTTGATCTTGCCATTCTGAAAGGTGTAAGGTGATTTCATCATGGTTTTAATTTGTACTTCCCTGATGCTTAATGATGTTGAGCATTTTTTCATATACCTGGTGGCCATCTCTATGTCTTCTTTGGAAAAATGTCCAGATCTTCTGGCCATTTTTTAATCAGATTTTTTTTTCCTATTGACTTATGTGAGTTCTTTATGTGTTTTGCATATTAGCCCCTTATCAGATAGATGATTTGCAAATATTTTCTCTTCCATTTATTTTCAACCTGGAACTTTGTTAAAAACTTTTTTAAAGAGTTTATTTATTCATTAATGAAAGACATAAAGAGAGAGAGGCAGAGACACAGGCAGAGGGAGAAGCAGGCTCCATGCAGGAAGCCTGATGTGGGACTCGATCCTAGGACTCCAGGATCATGCCCTGGGCCAAAGGCAGACACTCAACCATTGAGCCATGCTGATGTCCCTGTTAAAAACTTTTTTAAAAGTTGAGGTCATCCTACTGTTTAGCAGTTATTCATTGCCACTCACTTTAAAAATCGTGTGACTGCAAGTTGCCTCAAAGAATCCCCCATCTCTGTGCCTTCCCCACTTCCCAGCTCCTTTCCCCTCCCTGCATTTTATCATTTCCCACTCTGGACTGGCTTCTGCTCCCTCTGCTCCACTGGAACTACCCTTACCAAGGTCACCCGTGAGCTCCTCATTCCCAAACCTGACGGACACTTCATAACACCTGTCATCCTTGACTTGACCACAGAATTGGCTAGTTTTCATCACTTCTTCCTGTTCTCTTCCTACTCCTGCTACTTGTCGTCCTTTGATTCCTTCATCAGCTCCTCTTCCCCACCAGCTCCTTTATGTTGGCTAGTAAATGTTGGGGTAAAACTCTGGGCATATATCCATAGTCCTCTTCGCATTTTATTTGCTCTTCAGGTTATCTCAGAGGTACCTGGCTTCAGCTATCTCCACTCAAGACCCCCCCAAACACTTCCTTGAGCTTCAGATCCTATACACTCGACAGTGCCTGTGTCACAAGTACTTCACACTCAACAGATCCGAAACAGAACTGTAGGATTTCCACCATGAACCTGTTCCCTTTCTCCCCAAATGGCCCTGCTACATATCTGGCTGCTTAGGCCAGCTTACCCACCCAATTGCCAAGTCAGCTTGGCTTCCCTTAGTCTTTCTCCCCATCTCCCTTCCTCCTGGTGTACTCAGTCACTGAGTTCTTCTAAAAACTAATACCTTCCAAAAATCTCTCCATGCCTTTCTCTGCTCTCTGGGATGAGGCCCGAAGCCCTCAGTGCCTGAAAGACTGCAGTGGCCTTCTGTCTGGACTTTTCGAACCTCTGTGGTCTAGAGCAATCTGTCTTTCTAAAATAGAAATCTTATGTCAAGCCCCTGTTTATTTATAACCCTTCCATGGCTTCCTTTTGCTTTTGAGATAAAGTCTAACTTCCCTTCCCCAACTCACAAGGTCTTTTATGACAGTGCTCCTGCCAATCTTGCACACCTCAACTCCATCACTTTGTAACCCAGCCATCCCAAATTACGTGCAATTCCCTGAATGGACTGTGTTCTCTCACTCTTCTATGACTGGATGTGTACTACTGTACCTCCTACCTGGAAAACCATTTCTTTTCCTTTGTTTCCTTGCTTATGTGACACCTCTGGAAAGATTTCCCTGTTGTCCCTCTTCCGTCTGGCTTGGTTAGGCACCAGGTACCTCTTTTCCATTTTTATAACACCTTGTCTCCATATATATCATACTGTCACTGTTTATTCAGTCTGTTTTCACTAACTAGACTGAGAGCTACATGAAGGAGGGACCTTGTTTTCATCTCAGAACCCTGGGGGCCTATTCAGCATGGTACTCTAGCCTCTGTACCTCTTGGAGTAAAGGAAAGTTCCAGAAGTTTGAGTTCAATTTGCAGTTGAGATAGATCCATACCATGGAATATTATTTAACTACGAAAAGGAATGAAGTTCTAATACATGCTACAACATGGATAAACCTTAAAAACATGATGCTGAATGAAAAATGCCAGACATGAAAATTCACATATTGTTGGATTCTGTTTCTTTTTTTTTTTAGATTTTTAATTTATTTATTCATAAGAAATACAGAGAAAGAGACAGAGACATACACAGAGAATCAAGTTCCCTGCAGGGAGCCTGATGCGAGACTTGATCCCAGGACCCTGGGATCAACACCCTGAGCCAAAGGCAGATGCTCAACCACTGAGCCACCCAGGCATCCCTAGGATTCTGTTTCTATGAAATGTCCAGAGTTGGCAAATCTATATAGAAAGTAAGGATAGTAGTGGTTTCCAGGGGCTGGGAGTTGGGGGGTAAGGTGGAAAATTACTGCTAATAGGTATGGGGTTTCTTTTTGGAGCAATGAAAATGTTTTGGAATTAGATTGTGATGATCAATATACGACTTTGTGAATATAGTAAAAGCCACTGAACTGTATGGTTTAAAAGGGTAAACTTTATGATATGTGAATTACATCTCAATAAAGCCATTATTAAACAGGTCAATGTAGGTTTTAGTACCTAGAACATTGTGTACGTTTGAATATCAATATGATTATCCAAGTACAATTCTTGGGACACCCAGGTGGCTAAGCATTTGGGTGTCTGCCTTTGGCTCAGGGCGCGATTCTGGAGTTCCCGGATCGAGTCCCACATCAGGCTCCCTGCGTGGAGCCTGCTTCTCCCTCTGCCTGTGTCTCTGCCTCTCTCTCTCTCTCATGAATAAATAAATAAAATCTTAAAAAAAATCCAAGTACAATTCTTGCAATATATTGATGTCATAGTGTTGGACGGAGGACTTCTATTCCATGTTTTGATTTTGAAACACATGTTTTTAAATAAAAATCTGAGCTTTTAGTGGTAGAAGAACTCAGTTGATCTACAAATATTATTGATGCTCCAATTTGTTAAATGTGTATTATTTGGCCAGCCAGGTGCTGGAGGAATAATTTGAGAAGTGTTGTGTGTTTAAGTCTTATAAATTGATGGATGGAGATGGAGGTGGTAAACACATTTCTAACATGATTGCACTGTCATGTTGGGATACCTTATTCTATGTACAGATAATTTGAAGTTATTTTTTATTTTGTTACATTCCTAATCACTTACTTCTATCTTGATCTAGAAATGCCGTGATATATGCTGTACCCTAGGGAATGTTTTCCCCTCTTGTCCCACTGGATTATATGAATATTAAACTCTTAGATTTGCAAATATAGTAATACTTTTAAATGTAACTGCATTCAGTCTAGAAATTTGTTCTGAACCACAGAGGACTATGCTAAGAGTTCTTCTGTTATCAATCCAAAGGGACGTGTGTGGTACAGAAGTAACCTTTGTCCAAAAGAAGAGCTTATATGGTTCTTTTATTATTTCCAGGTCTTTTGGTGGGCCTTGTGCTTCGATATGGCATTCACGTTCCGAGTGATGTAAATAATGTGACCCTGAGCTGTGAAGTACAGTCAAGCCCAACTACCTTATTGGTAAATGTTAGTGGAAAGTTTTATGAATATACGCTTAAAGGAGAGATTAGTTCACACGAACTCAATAACGTTCAAGATAATGAAATGCTTAGAAAGGTAAGTTCTTTGTTAAAGGGAACATTTGGATTTTTTTAAGTGTATAACTAGCAGCAAAGCAATTCAGGAGAAGAATTAATAATTTTTAATGATGTTTAAAATCATTCTTTTAAAATGGAGAAAAATCTCAAGTGTAATATAATGCTAAGGAAATGAATGGACATCTGTCCATTTCATTTTCTGATTGAGGCTAAGTACTCTAATCCTTTTTGTTTCATTCAGTGATATTTATAATTGTAATAAATGGTGATCTGTATTGACTTAAGTAGAATTTATAAGCATTTCTTTCAATTTACAGATGGTCCTTAGAGTTTTATGGTCCTTCAGCACATTGAGTTTATTTAATAATACCTAAAATATTCCATTAATATTTCTTAGGATATTATTATTTTTTTCTTGTTTTGACTGCATTGTGTCTGGAGGACAATTCAATCTTTCTTTGATTCATAATCTGGCACAACGTCAGGGGCTTCATTCTGAGTATCAGTCACTGTACCATGCTGTGTATCGAGCTCCATGTGGGAGGCTATACTGCAGTTTTCCTGGCACCCAGACATTCCTGGCACTGCTTTCTGCTGTCCCCTGCCATAGTCCCCCTGCCGAAGCTTCTCGGGGCCTCTTTGCTCGTGTCTCTTCTCTTCCACCCACCCATGGCTATGTGCCTCCACTTCTGTCTTCTGCATGGGCAGGACTTGGCTTTCATAGCTACTTGGTTGTGGTTCAGACCATCTTTAATGCTTTTTACAATTTCATCCGAGCTTACTTGACTTTGCAAGAGTTCTTTCTACCTGTGGAAAATTCCAGTTCCTTAAAAGTCCTAGTAAACGAAAATTTTAGCATGGATATGTGTGTAGCTGCTTTGTGTTCATGTCAGATCCTGTTGCAGCCTCATGAACAGAAAAGGGCACCTATGTTATTATAGGGACTAGAATGAAAACAAATAGGCTGTCAGGACTAGAAATCTTAGTCATACCATAATATGCTGCCATATACCTTTAGAGGCATGACCTATACAAGAAGTCAGTTTCTTCTTGCCAGCAATCGTGCCATACCTCCAAATTTTGTTACCAGCTTAGGGTCTCTTTTATTTAAAGCAAAGATATGTTCATGCTTTTTCCTATTTTTAAGATTTTTAATGTCATAGTATTTTATCACCCTTTCCACAGATATGACTTAACTGATTGCTCCAATACTGTCTCCTTGTCATTTGGTTGAGAAATATAACAACAGCTATCCTATATGAAATACTTTTCAGTGACCACAATAATGTACTTGCCTTTTCCCCAGTTTAACAATCTTTTTTCTTTTTGATTATTTGATAATGTAATACGAACTCTTCTAAGGGATTTCATCTAAAAGAACTCTTTATTTTAACAGGTTACCTTTGATCCAGAAGTATTTTTCAACATATTACTTCCTCCTATCATATTTTATGCAGGATATAGTCTGAAAAGAGTAAGTGCTTGTGTATTTCATATACTTTGAACAACTTGAAACTCCATGGACTTTGTCATTGTCTGACACTTCAGAAACAGGCAGTTTTTTTTCCAGCTTTCCCTCCTTTCTCCTCTCCTTGCTGAAATTTATGCCTGTACAAAAAATTCTCTTACTTATTTCCTTTAATGAATAATACATTTAATATTAGCAAAGCACCCTAGAATAGAAAGCCTTTTCTTTTTCAAATAATCGGTAAGTATTCTAACACACTGTAACTTTTTTCTTTTCTTTCTTTCTTTTTTTTTGTTAGAGACATTTCTTTCGAAACCTTGGGTCTATCCTAGCATATGCTTTTCTTGGAACAGCAATTTCTTGTTTTGTAATTGGGTAAGTACTTGAAGGTGAAAACACTTTTTATCCTTCTAATTATGCTTTTTTAAAAACAATGCATATTTAATTTATGCAGTACTGTATTCCTGAGTGTGTTTGCGGACCTTTTTCAGTAAAATGCATTCACTTAGATAATAAATTGTGTGAATTTTCCTTAAAGGTCAAGGTATTACCATACTTAAATGACATGAGTTAAATTTGAGATTAGTCACAGAATACTACAGCAGACACATCTTTTTCTTCCTACTATATTCTAACTTCTTTAACAGTTGCTGTTTTTTCTAAAGTAGAAATGTGTCTATTGACCAGGTCAATAATGTACGGCTGTGTTACACTGATGAAAGTAACCGGACAGCTTGCAGGAGATTTTTACTTTACAGACTGTCTGCTATTTGGTGCCATTGTATCAGCAACTGACCCAGGTACGTGCATGTGAGAGTGGAACTTCAGGACTTAACGTACCATGTTTTGCTAGCAAAAGCACACATGTGTAATCCTTCCTTTAGGTGTAGATTCATAAATTCCCACAGTATGATACTTCCATTTGTAGAGGAAAAAACAAAATTCATGGATCCTTTTGGCTTAAACACACTGATTTTATTTTATTTTATTTTATTTTATTTTATTTTATTTATTTTATTTTATTTTATTTCATTTCATTTCATTTCATTTCACTTTATTTATTTTATGCTCATTACTGGCCCTCAGTTTGATGCTGTTGAGATGAGGGCTTTATGGCCTTTTCTTCAGAAATTCAGGTTGGTGTCTATCTTTAGTAATTGGGGATTTGGAGAATATGAACTAGATTAGTTAAAATGGGTAATAATGGTACACACTTATTTCATGCTTCGGGAAAGCCAGTTCCCTAAATATCCTCTGTTTGTATTCAGCTATCCGCATGTGAGAGCAGGAAAAACAGTTATTAAATGATTGTTAGAAGACAGTTCTGCTACTGTCCATGGGATTTGGTGTCACTGGTAGGCCTTACTATGCATTAGTTGTTTTTATATAAAATCGACTTTATGGTTATGAAATAGAGTTTTTTAAAGGTTTTATTTATTTACTTATTTTAGAGAGAGAGAGAGTGTGCGAGCAAGCAGTGGGAGGGGTATAGGGAGGGAATCTCAAGCAGACTCCGTGCTGAGTGCAGAGCTCCATGCAGGGCTCGAGCTCACAACCCTGAGACCATGACCTGAGCCAAAACCAAGAGTCGAACGCTTACTTGACTGAGCCCCCCCAGGCACCCCTGATGTAGTTCTGATATGAGCACAGCTGGAAAATGGATGTCATTCTATATAGTTAGGTTGTAGTTTTCCTACTGTGGTATTGATGAGTCTCACAGCTATGCTTATGGTAGGAACTTAGAGAGGATGCAGGCTGAAGACCTAGCCATGGGACTGGAGACTGGAGTTTTTGAACTAAGGATGCAAGGTTTTTTTCACTGGACTTTAGGACCTTGGCAAAGGTTTGTTCTACCTTTTTAGCCTTGTAAGTTAATCATCCCCTTTAATTGTCATTCAGCACAATAAAAGGTAGGATCCTAAGGTTATCTCTGAATTCCTATATTAACTCTGATAACATAGGGCATTATATATAGAAAGTAGGAAAATTTGTTCTCTATATGAGATGATTTTATAAAGGTCAGAGGGCATTTTAGAGAGGCGTTTGCATAGTTTAGCATTTTAAAAACAAAATCAAATTGTTCCCTTCAAGACCACCAAGGCTGCCCCCTTTACTGTTTAGAGTTGCTCCCATTATCTGTATGAAGATACGATGGTTTTTGCAAGGAGCCAGTGGTCTCCGTTTTCTGTGTCCTTTTGCTTAGAAGCAAGGTCCTCGACTTTTCAATGTCTTTGAGAAATCTTGTCAGTTGGATTGGCTACATTACTTCAACCTTCTGGCTTTGTGTTGGTAGAAGAATTGCCTGAATGGCTCAAGATAAACTGTTTTGCTCATATTAAGTTGGACAGTTACATTTCTTCTGAGTTATATAGGCATTTATTTGCTCCTATAATCATTTGTTATTCTGCAATTGTTTATTTGTTAAAAGAGTGAGCCCTAGGTTCTCTTTGCAAAATTCTTCAGTACTACTTCTGTCCTCCTTTTCTCTTCTTGGTAAGTTTTTGTATCAGTATTTTCCAGATGAAATGCTTTGCAGTAAAAACTACATCTTTTAAAATGCAAGTTTCCTGTTTTGTTGGTTGGCATTTGAAGGGGCTCTCCAATCCCTGGTTATAATAATCTCTCATGTCTGCTTGGATTTATTTAGTGGTGAGCTATATATGACTCAGCAATTAAGGTTATAATGCAACTTCAATCTCATCTGATTTTCTAAGAATTTCTCATAGAATTGTTGCCTAGAAGAAGGGTTGTTTTGTTTTGTTTTTAATCTTCTCAGGCTGTAATAGCCTAATTGTTGGCTTCTCATTAAGTTAAATATAGCAGCTGTAATTCTGATCATAAATTTTATCTCAACCAAAACCAAACTTGTGCTTTCATTTCCTACTGTCTTTGCTAAACTAAACCAGTGTGCTTGAAATTTGCAAGTCAAATAGAAATGAGTTATAAAGCTCCAAGGAGAAGGTGAAGTTTGCAGCAAAAAATGCTTTTAGTAATACCCTTCTTCATCAAAGATTAATGATCACCTGGTCTGTAAGAAATTCTGCATATATTCCTTATGGAGAAGAAATGTACAAGACAAGATTGTTAGTATTTGCATGAAACATGTAGGTCAGCTGAGTCCTCCAGGGTTAATTTCAACTATTTATAAGATAAAGGAAATATTGCGGGTACACAATTAGGGAAAACAGAAGTATGGACAAGGGACATACTGAATCTTTAATATGGTAAAAGAATGTTTATTGGGATCAGATCCTAAGAGGAAAAGATGCATTTCTTAGTAACCATCATAATCATCTATGAAGGAGACTATGTTATTTTTGTAATGTCTAAATACTCCTCTGACTCTTTCTACTTGCTAGTGACTGTACTTGCCATATTCCACGAGCTTCAAGTAGATGTTGAACTCTATGCACTTCTGTTTGGGGAGAGTGTCCTCAACGATGCTGTTGCCATAGTGCTGTCTTCGTAAGTGTTTGTTTTCTTGTTATCTTCTATATTTTGAATGTTAGGGTACTAGGAACCAAAAGTCACTTATTGAATGAAGTGCATTACAAATGCAGACGTTTGAAAGACTGAGGTATTTTTTTCCTCTTAAAGAAATATCTACTTACAGACAACATGGAAAATGTGAGGAAGAAAAAAATGGTATATCCTTCTCACACCTAAAGACAATTACTATAAAAATTTGAGGGCACTGCCTTTTATTCTTACTTTATATGCATGCTGTTTTTACATAGTTGTGATTGTGGTGTGTATATACTTTTTTATTCTGTTTTAACATTATAACATGAACATTTTCTTTTTAAATTAAATTATATTTTTGGAACAGATAATGTATTTACATGGTTCAAGAATCAAAAATGTATAGAGGTAACCTAGAAAAGCCACATTCTTATTCCTGTTCTCATCCACCTGTCCCTCCAGCCCCTTATATGTAACCATTTTGATTAGTTTCTTGTGCATCCTTGTACTTCTTTATCCAAATACAGGCACACATATGAATAAATATACTTATTTGCCTCTTATTTCTTATTTTAAAAGTAGCACGCTAAACATGTTCTATGCCTAGCTTTCTCTCACATAACTATATCCTGGAGATCTTATCATATGGAAGCAGAGAATTTTCTCATTCTTTGTTTGCAGCTACAGAGTATCCTATGTGATTTACTATGAACTTATAGTTGGTTTAATCAGTCTCATATTGCTAGAAGCATAAAAGAGTTTTCAGTCCTCTGCTATCCCAAACAATGGTGCAGTGATTAACCTTGAACTCACCTGTTTTATACATGCATAGATATATTAGTAGGATAATTTTCCAGTAGTAAGATTACTATGTTAAAGGGTAAATACATTCATAATTCTGTTAGACATTGCTACATTACCTGTCAAAGAGATTATGCCATTTTGCACAGTAACCACTGAATTATGGGAGTGCCTGTTTCCTCATAGCTTCCCCAACAGAATATTTGTCAGACTTGTATTTTTGCCAGTTTGATGATTGAGCAATATCTCATTGTAGTTTAATCTGTATTTCTCATATTTAACATAAGCACTGCAGAAATGTCTGTTAATTTTGAGAAGTTTTAAATAATATATACTTTGAAAACACAATTATTGAAATGAGCAATACTTTAATCTACCTATAGAAGTTACTATACATGTTATTAGAAGGTGTTTGCAGGTGAAAAAATGAATCTGAACCTCTTAGGAACTCAGTCCTGCCAACCCACTCCTACTAAGCAAATATCTAGCCCCGTAGACAGTTGCCTTTACTTCATACCATCTAGTGGGTGAAGGCCAGCAATGCTGCTCAATATTCTTCAGTATACAGGGCAGCACCCACCACCCAACACATAATTATCTGGCCCCAAATACCAATAGTGCCAGGACTGAGACACCCTGATGTTTTAATCAAAGTCACTAGAATGTTGTTCTTCATATTGCAATTGGTATCACCTACACTTTTATATATCATCTCTTTGTCTTTATTTATGACAACAAAATTAATACATGTTTGTAACAAAAACATCAAAGTATTTGACTTAAAAGGTAGAAAATTTCTGAAATTTCAGTCCTCAGATAACCACTGTTAAGGTTTTCATCTAGGCTTTTCCTTTAGGATATTAACATGCATCTAAATATATTAATAATTTTTATTTTATTTTTAATTTTATTTAAATTTAGAGTGTATTATTAGTTTCAGAAGTAGAGTTCAGTGATTCATCAGTTGCATATAACACCCAGTGCTCATTCCATCAAGCACCCTCCTTAATGCCCATCACCCACTTATCCTATATCCCCCACCCATATATTAATAATTTTTAAGCAAAAAAAGGCATAGTACTAAACATACTCTTCTGTAATTTGCTTTTCTCACTTGGACATTTTACTGTGTTAATACTTCTATTATCCCATTGTATGGATACAGCACAAGTTTACCTCTCATATCCCTTACTGATTAACGTTTGGTGTTTTCTAATAATGTATTATTGTGAATGGCACTGCAGTGAACATATTTATGTGTAAGTCTCTGTGAATCCTTGTGAGCTTTTCTGTAGAATGCTTTTTAGAAGTAGAATTTCTAGGCTAATGCATATTATCAGTAAAAAAAAATTGAAAAGTACAGTCTTATTTCCCTCTAAAAATGTAATAAACATCTACTTGAAACCAGTTGTACTACATGTAAAAAGAGCTATACGTATGATAATACCCAGCTTCTAGCAATGTAGCATAGGGAAATAGTCATAGGGAAATAGTCCAAAATTTGTAAAAAAGTGCGAATATGCGAATATGCTCTTTCACATTTTTATTTTTAGTAGCAAAAATACTAGAAGCACCTTTTACATGTCTAACAGTGGGGAAATGGTTAAACAAATGCTTACATCCATTTGGACCACTTTTGAAGTCTTAAAAACCGTAGAGAGACTAGTAATTTATGTCATTATCAGATGAAGAAGCAGAATTCAAAACTATATATTCCCTACAGTCATAACTAAACATGAAATAACATACATGTAACAAGAAGAGGGAGAGAAATACAGAAGGCAAATAAGATAGCCTTGTCAGGGCAGTAGAAGGATGGGGTGATTTTTCCCTCTGAGTTGTACACATTGTATTACCTTTATGATTAAAAAAAAGTATTTATAAAATGTTGCTGCCTGAAGATAAAATATTGAAATTTTGGGAAAAATGAGTTAAGATTTCAATCCAGAGGCCAGTGTTTGGCAAAGAAGAAGGAAACAAGGGGCACCTGGGTGGCTCAGTTGGTTCAGTGTCTGCCTTCAGCTCAGGTCATGCTCTCTAGGTCCTGGGATCGAGCCCTGCATTGGGCTTCCTTGCTCAGTGGGGAATCTACTTCTCCTTCTCCTTCTGTCCCTCTCTCCTGCTCTCTCACTGTCTCTCAAATAAAAAAATGAAATCTTAAAAAAAAAGAAAAAGAAGATGAAAACAAGCCTCTCATCTGTTCTCAGCCCACCATGCTTTCATGTGCTCTTGTACATTTTCATGATTAAAAAAATAAAATAATGATTGCTGTGAATCTTGAATTTATATGAATTAATTCAGGGAAAACAGTCTCAGGAGGCATGGCATAGACATTTTGTTCCAGCCAGCATTTTTTTTTTGAGTGAGAGAGAGGGGGCCGGGGAGGAGAAGAGGGACAGAGGGAGAGCGAGAATCCCAAGTAGACTGTCCACACAACACAGAGCCCAACATGAGGCTCGATCTCACAACCCAGAGATCATGACCTGAGCTGAAATAAAGAGTCCAATGCCCAATGGACTGAGCTACCCAGGCACTCCCAAGCTAGCATTTTGAAAATTGTCAGCAGAGAGAAAAAAGGTTGTAGCAGCAAGATTCTTTCTGTTCTCCCAGCAGCTGCTTTATTTTCCTGTTATAATGTGGTCAGATATCATTTATGGTGGTGGGACCCTTTATGTATAGATGAGATAGCATGACATTAGAGGCCATTTCATATTTATTAAAATATTTTTTTAATTGTGAAGGTATGAAAAAGACTTGGTGTACATGGTATAGCAAGCCCACTTTTCAGCCTTGAACGTTAAAATACATCATGGTAACCACAGGGAGAATTACTTATATTCCTAGGAATGTGTTTTTTCTTCTTCTTTTCTTTGACATGACTTGCATGATGTCTTTGAGTCCAGATTTTTTATAAAAACACTAAAATGTCAATTAGCTGCAATGAGAACTGATTTAGTAATGGTAGGCACTCTCGCCAGACACCTGCTGGCAACAGTGATTTTTCTCAGCCATTTCTATTTCCCAGGGTGACCGTTTCAAAAAGAAGTATTTCTAGACCAGGTTTGGACTTGTAAGTTCAAGATGGAAAGTGTCTTCTGTAATTGCGTTTCTTGGCCTCTCACAGAGTGACTTTCTTTCCAGAGTTTGAGGTAGAGGTCCAGCTGGGTAAGCTAAGTGGATTCTAATTCCTTGGATGGACTTTCAAGCCCTTTTCCCTATAAAAGTCCATTTCAGTGAGTGAATAGATGTTAGGCATTGGGCCCATTCTGGTATTCTAAAAGTTGAAAGGGTACTTCAGTCATCTTTTTTTCCCATAAGAAAAACAAAATGTGACCAGGTTGAGTATTGAGCAGTATTCTTTATATTCTTATGCCTCTGCTGAAAACAAGTAGAATTTTTCATTAGTTCATTCACATTAGTATGTTGGGGCTTGTAGGCACTCAGTGCTAGTAAGTCTTGAACAGAGTCATAAAAGAATAATTCTGCACAGTATCTTTACACTGTAGAAAAAGGCTTGGTACAACTTCATATAGAGGACCTTAAAACATTCTCTCTCTTGAAATTATCGTTTAAGTAAAAGAGGGATTTTCTTGCTAGCTAGATCCACCACAGGGTGTTTTGGTAACCTTCTGTCCTTATTTTGGCAATTCAGATCAAAAGTTTTTGTCCTCTTTCCCCTCCCCTTAACCTCTCCCCCCACCCTGATTTTATCTTTTAAGCTACATTCGAGAAGGTATTTATTGTTTTTGATACTACATTAGAGAAGGTGTTTATTATTTTTGAAGATAAATTTTAAAGTAAAAATTGCTTCTAGAAGTAAAAACAATCTCTCTTTTGTAGCTCAATCGTGGCATATCAGCCAGCTGGAGACAACAGCCACACCTTTGATGTCACAGCCATGTTCAAGTCTATTGGGATTTTCCTTGGGATCTTCAGTGGATCTTTTGCGATGGGTGCTGCTACTGGTGTGGTGACAGCTTTAATATCCTTTTATTAATCTTTCCTTGTTAACCTAAAAAGTGGTTGAATACTGTATTCCATGGTCTCTCCTAGTTCCATAATTTCCATTGTGTTAAAATTGTTTTTTTTAAGATTTATTTATTTATTTTAAAGAGAAAGGAAAAACAGAGTGAGAGTGGGGGGTGTGGTGCCAGAGGACAGAAGTCTTCAAGCAGACTCCCCACTGAGTACAGAGCCTGATGTGGGGCTCCATCCCGTGATCCGTGAGATCATGACCTGAGCTGAAACTACAAGTCAGGGCAGCGCCGTTTGCCCAGCGGTTTAGCGCCACCTTCAGCCCAGGGCATGATGCTGGAGACTAGGGATCGAGTCCCACGTCAGGCTCCCTGCATGGAGCCTGTTTATCCCTCTGCCTGTGTCTCTGCCCCTCTCTCTCTCTCTCTCTCTCTCTCTCTCTCTCATGAATAAATAAATAAATCTTAAAAAAAAAGAAACCACGAGTCATATGCTTAACCGACTGAGCTACCCAGGCACCTCCATTGTGTTATAGTTCTTAACCTTTGTTTTTAATGAATTTATTTATTTACTCACGAGAGAGACAGAGAGAGAGGCAGAGAGGCAGAGACACAGGCAGGAGGAGGAGCAGGCTCCATGCAGGGAGCCCGATGTGGGACTTGATCCCAGGACTCCAGGATCACGCCCTGAGCCAAAGGCAGACGCTCAACCTCTGAGCCACCCAGGTATCCCTATAATTCTTAACCTTATGACCAAAGACTTGGTTTGAAAACATTAGGTAATCACCCTTACCAATAAATAAATAAAGGAATTTCATTGTTTTGCATTAGGCTCCATGCTCTCCAACTTTCACTACAAAAGTCTAATTAGACACAGTGACCCTCTGGGAGTGAATTTTAAGGTTGTAGACTAAATTGACATAAAGGTAAATACATTTCAATGAGCCCCTAGATATTCTGCACTGTTGTTCATTTGCTCTTTGTTGAATAGGACAAATAGGAATTGTACGACAATGATGTCAGTTGAACAAAGTAGGCTTCTTGGGTTTGGACAGATGGGAATTCATCTCAGCTCTTACAAGTTTTAACCTTCGGTTCTCGAGTCATTGGCACTGCTACTAGTTTGCTATTAGAAAAGTCATTCTTGTGCTCATTCAGAAAATGCTTCCTGAAATGCTTGCCTGCTGCATGCCAGATGCTATGCTCTGGGCATCAAAGATGGACAAGACAGACATGGCCTCTGCCTTATTGGAGCTTATGGTATAGAAGAACCAACACTTGACCTGTGGGCCCTCAGTCTAGGAAGGTGGCAGATGGGGACAGCAGGAATATGAGTGGGACTAGATGATCTCTAAAGAACTTCTAGCTCTAAAACTTCTAAGAAATTTTCATATAAAACAAATACTTTTGGGGGCACCTGACTGATTCAGTTAATAGAGCAAGTGATTCTTAACCGCAAGGTTATGAGTTTGAGCCCCACATTGGGTGTAGAGATTACTAAAAATTAAGATCTTTAAAGAAAATTTAAAAAACAAATACCCTTTTCAAGGATTTGTAAGTTTGCTCTAAATCAGCTTTGTGCTGGAAGAGACTTGTCTTTTGGCTTTTTACAGGTGAACTGAGGCACAGATAGACAGTAAAAAAGTTCTGAAAGATAAGTCAGGACAAATCATACTGCTGTCCCATTATAATCTTCTTGAGGGTAGGGAGAGAGTTCATCTGAGATTTGTCACAGGTCTACACGGGCCCTTCTCTGGTTGACTAACAAATACTTTTTAGATTAGAGTAAGTGAGTGACATGCCATGGTTTCTTCATCACAGAATACTCTACATCACGGAGGTGCTAGGGGATTAAATAAACATGAAATCTCATGGAAATGCCATATTCTTAGTAAGTGTAAATTGCTATAATTATGGAAGCTGTCTTGCTTTGGATTGCAGGTTAATAGACGCGGCCTGTTGTATATCTGATCTGTTGTTCATGTCTCTGTCCTTTATAATCTGGTTTCTGGCAAGGCGTGCGATACCCATAAAACAATTGGATTGACAAAACTGTGGCTCCCTCATAGAAGCAAAGACTGCTGACTCCTCAGTCCAATGCTCATTTTAAGAGGTCCTTCACGTCGGCACCTCCTTATTCTGTGACCTGTGTTAGATTGGAGAACCCTTCTTGCCCTTTCATGGTTGCCTTGCCTCGACTATTATCTTTTGTAGTCTTACTTCTGTTTTACGAGATCTCATTACCGACCTTGACAGTCTTACGTGACAAAGTTCACCAAATTACGGGAGTTCCAGCTGTTGGAGACAGGCTTGTTCTTCTTGATGTCCTGGAGTACCTTCCTCTTGGCTGAAGCATGGGGTTTCACAGGTAGGGTCCTTTCTCTTTTTGACTATAAGCCTTCATGGGGAATGACTTTGCCAGTCATTTTTTCTACACGTGGGCACATCCTCTAGCATCTGAACATACTTACTAGGGTTGGGATTTATGCTGTCCCTTTAGAATATAAAAAAGATTTTTAATAGAAGTGATTCATCTTAACAAAGTAAGTCACAACTGGAAATGTCAGTGCTAAGCACATGATCTTCTGTAAAATTAAAGCCTCAATATGAATCGGAGAAGGACAAACACTATATGGTCTCATCCATTTGGGGAATATAAAAAATAGTGAAAGGGAATAAAGGGGAAAGGAGAGAAAATGAGTGGGAAATATCAGTGAGGGTGACAGAACATGAGAGACACCTAACTCTGGGAAACGAACAAGGGGAAATGGAAAGGGAGGTGTGCAGGGGGATGGGGTGACTGGGTGACAGGCACTGAGGGGAGCACTTGATGGAATGAGCACTGGGTGTTATTCTGTATGTTGACAAATTGAACACCAATAAAAAATATACAAAAAAAGCCTCAATATGAAAGTCAAGAAGTCTCCTTTGATGTGAACTTGGAACTTGTTGTCTTTATAGGTGTGGTTGCAGTGTTGTTTTGCGGTATCACACAGGCCCATTATACATACAATAATTTGTCCACAGAATCCCAGCATAGAACTAAACAGGTAAGAGAAACTTTATAGTTTGTGAATAAACTTTTCCTCCTTACAGCAAGACCAAAGTTTTTTTAACTGAAAAATCATTAGTTGGTTCCAAACAATGTCTACTCCTTTCAGCTCCTCTTCCTTTGACTCTAGAGATAGATGGGATTGGCGGGTTGAAGAGTAGAAGCTTTAAGGTAGAGATAGTTCAGCAGAATAGCTAGGGGCCATTATTACTGTGGCTCCAGGGATCAGTTGGCTTCCTTTCCTTGTTTCCCTAGTCAAATTGCTTTTAAGAGGAATGTTTTGGAAGTTCACTCAGGTCTGACTAGCAGTACCGCTCAGTGATAGAAACAAGATTAATTTCTGATCTGACTGGATCTACTGCCGGCTGATACAGAGAAGATCGACCTGTTTCAGGCCCTTCGCAGCTGCTCTGTTTCCAGGAATGTCAGCTACACCAGTGGTCAGGTTTCATATGGTACTGAATGATCAGGTGTGCAGAGTACCTGGAAGGAACTATAAAGGAAATAGGCATAGCATTTCCTAGTCTTTGTTTAAGATTTTATTTATTTATTCATTAGAGACACAGAGAGAGGCAGAGATATAGGCAGAGGGAGAAGCAGGCTCCATGCAGGGACCCTGACGCAGGGACTCAGTCCCTGGACCCCAGGATCACGCCCTGAGCCGAAGGCAGATGCTCAACCACTGAGCCATCCAGGTGTCCCAGCATTTCCTAGTCTTATGAGGCATTTGGGACCATGAATGAACAATATGTAATGTCTACAATAGAAACAAATGCATACTTGATTATAATTAGATGCTTTCAGTTTTGCCAGATGACTACACAGTGAGATTAGCCTGGAAAGGGCTCCTTTTTAAAAATTTTTATTTATTTATTCATGAGAGACAGAGAGAGAGGCAGAGAGACACAGGCAGAGGGAGAAGCAGGCTCCGCATGGGGAGCCTGACGCAGGACTCAATCCCAATACCCCGGGGATCATGACCTAAGCCAAAGGCACATGCTTAACCACTGAGCCACCCAGGTACCCTGGAAAGGGCTCCTGATAAAGCAGGAGCAAATGTCCTTATTCTTTTTTTCTTTATTCTGGAGCTACAAATTTAGTATATGGCCTGTGTTTTTTTCCTAACTTCTCAAAAGAGATTAGATTTTTCTTCCCCCAAGCATATACACTGGGCTACAAATCCCTTTTATGAATTAATTCACTGCAGTAAGCATAGAGAGGAAAATCAGCTGGGGTGTTCAGTATTTTTCTAGGCAATGGAGTGGAGAATTCGAGGAAAACAAGGTAGGAGTTTCTAGTCTTGTTGGTAATACGAAGCTGTATAACATTAAAAAAAACAAACCCAGGGGATCCCTGGATGGCTCAGCAGTTTAGTGCCTGCCTTTGGCCGGAGGCATGATCCTGGAATCCCAGGATTGAGTCCCGCATCAGGCTCCCTGCATAGAGCCTGCTTCTCCCTCTGCCTGTGTCTCTGCTTCTCTCTCTCTGTCACTCATGAATAAATAAATAAAATCTTTTTAAAAACCCAGATTAATAGAACTTCTATATTGTGTGTTTCACATGATATGTCATACAAGAGGTCACAAGGGAAATGGTCTGAGGCTTGAGGAGGCTAGAAAACTATCATAGAAGAAATGGTTAACCTAGAAAGACAGGAAGGATTCAGAAAAACAGAAAAAGCATAAGAAAAAAATCAGAAGGGAAACAATACTGGCAAAGACAGGAACAAAAAGGTAGCTAATGTTTGCGAAAGGAAGGCCACAAAGTCTGGCACAGGGGTGGGCAAATGATGGCCAAACCTCCCTGTAAAGTCTGTGAGCTGAGGATGATTTTTACATTTCTAAATGTTTGGAAACAAAAGATTTTGTGACACACGAAAATTATATGACATACAAATTTCAGTGTCCATTAGTAGTTTTATTGGCACACTGCCACTGCGATTTTTTTAACATGTAGTCTGTGGCTGCTTTTGTGCTACATTGGTAGAATTGAATGTGATGGGCCCTATGTGGCCTGCACAGCCTCAAAATATTTACTCTCTCTCTCTGGTCCTTCATAGGAAAAATTTGCCAGCTCTTGATTTTATGGATTAAAGCAGAGAGTCTGTGTTGTTCCAAATCCTGGTTCCACTACTTGCTGACTGTGTGACCAGGGGCAAGTTCCATAACTTCTCTATGCTTCAGTTTTGTCATTCTTAAAATGAGGGTAACAATAGTACCTACCTCGTAGAGTTGTGAGATTAAAATGAAATAATGCTTGTAAAGTCCTTAGCATAGTATCAGGCACATAGTAAAAAAATGGATAAAGTTAAGCCATTATCATTAAACAAATAAGTAACTAATGATAATAGTATATTAAGTCATTTAAATTAAGTACATGCTTACTTATTTCCATTTTTAATTCCCATTTTTCAAGAATGAGGCAAGCCCAGTTTAGAAAGGTTATCTTGCCCAAAGCCACACAGCCAGCAAGTGGGAAAAGCAAGATTCAAGCCAAGGCATTTTGACTCCTGGGCCCATGTTGTTACTTAACCACCACCCTGTTTTAGTGGGACAGAGGGCTTGTGTTCAAGAGCAGTGATAGATAACTCGGATGGACAGAGGGATGCTGGATTACAGAGGGCTTGGAATTCATTTGGCAAGTCACCAGGCTCAGATCCCTGCTCTGTCAGGAACACTTGACAAGCTGTGGCATGAAGGGGCAGGGGTGGGCAGACAGCAGCAGGGGGACAGAGAACAGGGCTATCATGCGTAAACCCATACTCCCTGAACAAGGGCTGAGACCCATGTAAAAAGTGAAATCAGCAACAAGGTGGTGATATGAAAGTTGTCATGAAACATTTGATGCCAAGAGAAAAGAATTTGAACTGGATCTTCCAGTCTAAAAGAGGGTGGCGTCTTCAAACTGCCATGTCAAGAGAGACTCACTGGGTGAGGGTGCAGAACAGGGGCAACAGGAATACAGTTCAGGGCCCTTTGCATTATTATGGGTGGGGTGTAATGAGAGCTATAGACTAAGGCAGTGACAGGCAAGAAACATCCCCAAAGAAAACTTGACAGGGTTTGGAGGAGGAGGAGGAGGAGGACAGTGACTGAACATGGGGATTGACAAAGGAAGCTAATGGGGGATATACGGGAACATTTCTGGCTTTTTCTGAGGGACCAGAAAATGTCATCTCTGCATTTGCTTCCTCCCCAAGCACATATTTTAGGGATATACGTGAGCTTTATGTATGTGAGGTGTCTTCATCTTTATCTCCATGATGTTTGTGTTTTCAGATTACATAACTTAATGTATTTACTGGACTAACCTTTTAAAATTTCGTTTCAGTTGTTTGAGCTTCTCAATTTCTTGGCAGAGAATTTCATCTTCTCCTACATGGGACTGACACTGTTCACTTTCCAGAACCATGTCTTTAACCCAACATTTGTAGTAGGCGCATTTGTATCCTTTATTACGTGTTCTGTTTTGAAAACTTCTTTTCAGTTGAGATTCGCACATGTTTTCTGGATGATGGGTGATAAGAATACATTTAAATATATAAAATTTTCCTCAGTAAAACAAAGAAGGATTCCAACTCTTGTTCCTGTTCTATTTTTTATTCTGTTCTCTTTTCATTTTTGTTTATTACACAAATAACACAGGTTGAAATGACAGACAAAAAAAGCCTTCGCTCATTCCACCAGTCCCTGAGAATAAAACTGTTTATCCTCTGTCACTAAGTGGAAGAGAGAGAGAGAGAGTAGATCCTGGGAAAGAGTTTGCCAGTCTGTACCACAGGGCAGTAGTTGCAAGATGGTGAAAGGCTAAATGAGGCTGCTTTCCTCTGGCTCTGGCTCTGGCTTTAAAAACCAGCCAAAGTGGGAAAGCTGGGTACATGAAAGAGAGCACTCAGTAGTGCCAGCCTCAGGAGAAGGCAGGAGAAAATGAAATCCAACATGTGGGCAGGGTTTGGCCTCCACAAGGAGGAGGAACAGCCCCACCATTGTTCCAGGAGAGGACAGGGAATGTAAGGATGCAGGTAAACACCTGTAAGATGGAGTTCCTGTTTGATGGCTTCTATTTTTATCTGTAAAGTAGGTGGTGAGAGCATCTGCTGAGAGGGAGGGAGGAGTAGGTGGCCTATCAGTTATTTATTGTATAACAAAGTCCCCTAAAATGTAGCAGCTTAAAACAACAAACATGTATTACCTCACACAGTTTCTGAGGGTCAGGAATCCAAGAACAGTTTATTTTTTTAATAAGGATTTTTTTTAATTCATTTATTCAGAGAGAGAGAGAGACTGAGAGGCAGAGACACAGGCAGAGGGAGAAGCGGGCTTCATGCAGGGAGCCCGACACGGGACTCGATCCTGGGTCTCCAGGATCAGACCCCGGGCTGCAGGCGGTGCTAAACCGCTGCGCCACTGGGGGTGCCCCCAAGAACAGTTTAGTTGGGTTCTGGCACAGCGATCTCTCGTGAGGATGCGTCACGCTCTGGACTGGGGCTATACTCTTTCAGGACTTGACTGAGGCTTGCAGGATCCTCCCCAAGTTCACTCACATGGTCATTAATCAGAGGTCTAAGTTTTGCTTCAGGGGACCTCTCCGTGGGGCAGCTCACAACATAGCTTCCCCCAGAGGGAGTAAGCTGAGAGAGCACCAAGATGGAAGCTGAAGTGCTGTTTATAACCTAATCTTGAAAGTGACCATCATCCCTTCCGCCACATTCTATTGGTCACACTGGTGGACCCTGGTATGGTGTGAGCAGGGACTACACGAAGGTGTGAATACCAGGAAGCAGGGATTGGGAACCATCTTGAAGGCTGGCTTCCATGGATGATAGGAGTTTTGAGGAGAAGGCTTGGAAATAGACATAGAGAGCGGACGAGCAAGTGAGTGAGTTGACTGAAGAAATGCAGTAGGATTGCCGAGCAGCACTAAGGACTCATTTGAGTTTGAGGAATAGGTACTAATGGTAGAATCAAGTCTGCCCTGTTGTACAACTTTGTTCAGGAGTACTTGGCTGGAAGCATGGAGGAAAGAGAGAGATGGGTCCTTTGAGGTTTGGGGTTTAGTCAAGTGAGTACAGTGAAAACCCAGAGAGGGGCAAATGAGTGTAGGGTACAGGGAAGAGTGTTATTAAGATGTGGCTGAGAAAGGAAGTGAAAAAATGAGGACTGGTTGTTTGAGGGAAGATTTGAGGCCTCTTTGGATGGGAGGTCCCAGGGAGGTAGAGGTGAGGAGCCATCCAAGGGGAATAGATAAACGTGAAACATGAAAGCAGAGAATGTGTTTAGAGAGGGAGATGTTTAAATTAGTGGTTTCCAAAAGAACTGTTTTTTAAAACTACTTCAGAATGAAGCCAAAGAGATTACCAGAAATATTTTTAAAATTAAAGCTTGAAGCAGGATCTCTATTAGAAAGCAAGGTATTACTGAAATGCCATTCTGTATTTAATCTTCTGGGAATGAACTTCAGGCAAAAAAAAAAAAAAAGAGGAAAACCCTATTAAGAGAAGAAACCTAGCTGGAAGACTCCCATGAGATCAGTCACTTCATATCCTGCTAGTCTTTGAGAAACATTTGAGCAGTCAACTGGCTCGATCTTATCCTGAAATGAGGCTAAATATTCTCTATAGGTTTCTGAGCCTGTGAGGACTCAGGTTCCTCAGTGCAAAAGCCTACCATGAAAATTGACTTTTACCAGGAGAGAGTTGTCCTCTTACTAGCTGTATTAGTTAGGATATAGGTTTGACTTTATGTGCCAGTGACCCAAATTAACCAAGGTTTGTTTATTTTTTTTATTTTTTCAGTTTTTTAAAAAGATTTTTATTTATTTATTCATGAGAGAGAGAGAGAGAGAGAGAGGCAGAGACATAAGCAGGGGGAGAAGCAGGCCCCATGCAGGAAGCCCCATGTGGGACTCGATCCTGGGACTCCAGGATCACGCCCTGGGCTAAAGGTGGAGCTAAACCGCTGAGCCACCTGGGCTGCCCTAACCAAGGTTTAAACAAGACAGAAGTTTCTTTCTTTCTCATGTCAGAGTCTGAACTGTTGTGGCAGCTGTGCTCCACAGGGTCATCAGGGACCCAAGCAGCCTTTTTACACCCATCTTTAGGGAGTTGCCATTATTCTTAGGGACCAGCATGGCTCACCCCTGTGTCTGCTGTTTCCTTTTAAGGACATGACCCCAAATAGGCACACATCACTTCCACTTAACATCCATTGGGTTACATGGACTTACAAGAGAAGCTGGGCATTCTATTCTTTAGGTGTCTATGTATGCAGATGAAATTTGGAGGTAAAAGTGAGGAGGGTCTATGACTAGAGAGGAAGAAAAGTCTAGACAATGAGGATATAACTAGCAGTCACTGCTACATTGGCCCATGTGTTTTGTTACTATTTTCTTATTTTTTTTTTAGGGAATTGCTATTTAATTGTTATTTATTTAATTGTTATTTATTGTTATTAAAACCTTTGCAATCTAAAGTAGTTTTAGATTTATAGGAAAATTGTGAAGATAATACAGGAAGTTCTCATATACCCCACACCCATGTTTGCCTGTTATTAATATCTCACATTAGCATGATACACTTGCCACAATTAATGAACCAGTATTGACACATTATCTTTAGATCAAGCTCATACTTAATGCAGATTCTCAGAATCATCCTCTTGATAATCTGTGAACTCCCATTCCGGTAGTGAGAAACCTGGCTTCCACCGTCCACCATCCTATTCCCTTAATTGTTCCATTCCAGCACATATAGGAGTATCAGAATTGTTAACCAGTACTCCCATAGCAAACAACTTGACTAACAAGCACATGATGCTTATGTGCAGTTCCTTGTGCTGGTAATCTTACAGCCTCTGTCCACCTCCAGTGTTACTTAGGTCAACACTGTTTACTCCAACTAGTTTGTTTTTTCTCCTCCTCCAGTTTCCCCAACCTTGTTTTTTTTTTTCATCTTAAATGTTCCTTTATATCCCTTTTAGAAAATGGGACGGAGACTGTATTATGACAAAATAAACATTGTAATTGCAAAGCAGGAATCTCTATACACAGCAAGCTGGGCAAAAAGACATGAGGACTGGTTTCTAGTTAAAGCCAGTCTGAATTTCCATTAAGACTTCCATTTGAAGCAGGGTGGAAGTGTAGACTTGGAGGAACACATCTAGGCTAGTAGGAATTTCAGTTGTAGGAGAGATTAGAGCTGCCCTTTTCTTTGTTCTGAGGAAGCAAGGGCAAGTTTAGTCTGTATAACTTTCCCTCCCACCAACACAGACTTAAATTAAGATGGCTTAACCTATGATATTAATAATCTTACCAATATACCAAAGAAGATCAGCTTTTAAATGTGTTTCTATTCATCTAATGCATTTTGCATATGTTAGAGCTGTACTGTCCAATTTGGTAGTAATTAACTGTGTGTAATTATTTAAATTTAAGTTAATTTAAATGAAATAAAATTGAAAGTTTATTTCCTTGCTACTCTAGCCACATTTCAGGCACTCACCATGTTAGTGCAGGTATAGAACATTGTTGTCATCACAGAAAGTTGCATTAGATAGCACTGTTAGCAGAGGTAAAAGACTGTTAGAGACTGAATTTTTTTTAAGATTTTATTTATTTATTTGAGAGAGAGTGGGCATGCGTGGTGGTGGGGGGAAGGACAAGCACAGGGCTCAATCTCATGACCTTGAGATGACCTGAGCCAAAAATCAAGAGATGCTTAACTGAGCTACCCAGGTACCCCAGAGACTGAGCTCCTGAAGATAGTCTCTCACCATCTTGAATGTGTAGCCTAGATAATATTAATAGTAAAAAGAAATCTGCCTTAACATTTTAATTTCAGATTGCTATTTTCTTGGGAAGAGCTGCTAATATTTATCCCTTGTCCCTCTTACTTAATTTGGGTAGAAGAAGTAAGATTGGATCAAATTTTCAGCACATGATGATGTTTGCTGGTAAGTTGTAATTTTCCCTCTCTTGGCCCACTCCAAGAAACCACTCACAACACATATGCTAGCTTGATTTTAAACAGAAATGATGTGCTAATAATATAAGACTCCCTTAAACCTTGAAGTTGCAACCTCCAATGGAAAATTCTTTTTATAGTGTCCTGTTCCGTTATGTGAGAATTTTTTTCTGGTTTCAAATTCCTGGTTCAGAAATATGTCACATGTAGTGGATAAGATAAAGATACCTGCATTTTCACACAAAAATCTATATGTGAGTTTTTATGGCAGTTATAGTCATAATTGCCAAAACCTGGAAACAGCCCAGTGGGTGAATGAATAGGCAAATCGTAGGACATCCATGAGGCCATGGGGTGTTCCTTAGCACTAAAACGTCAAACTAGTGATACATACAACAACATGGATGCACCTCAGAGGCATCACCCTGAGTGAATGAAGCCAGTTTCCAAGGATTATATCCTCAAAAAGATAAAAGCACAGTGGTGGTGAACCCCCTTAGTGGCTACCTGGGGTTTGGCAGGGTGACAGAGAGGTTGGGCTAAAAAGATATAGCACCAAGGATTTGGTGAGGGGGAAGGTAGGGGTGGTGACACTGCTCTGTGCTTTGGTTGTGCTAATGGACATGCACCTGTGCATTGTTAAAACTCACAGGACTGAATGTGAAAAAAGAGTGGATTTTACTGGATGTAAATATAAAAATAAATTTTAAAATATTTCTAAAGGCCAGCACATGTCAGGATCCTCTAATTCTCTGTACCTATACATACTTTTGTATGTTAATATATACTACATATTTGTTCACATGCTTCTAAGTTCTTAGACTGTTCCTTATTTTTCTGAATTTCCGAAGCTTGCACTGGTAATGAGTTATTGAAGAAATGCCTCTTTCATGCCCTTGCAGGCCTCCGTGGCGCAATGGCATTTGCTTTGGCCATTCGAGATACCGCCACTTACGCACGGCAAATGATGTTCAGCACCACACTTCTGATTGTGTTTTTTACTGTGTGGGTATTTGGTGGTGGCACCACTGCCATGCTGTCGTGCTTGCATATAAGGTAGGTCATGTCTGGGGACCTCATTTTAATATTAAACTCTAATAGGGTTTTTTTTCTTTCAATTATGAGAAAAGTTTAAGCTTTGGCGAATGTATAATGTTTTATTTTTTCTTTTTAAAAATTGTGTAACCTGTAGTACAGAGAAAATGGGAAATGTGCAAAAGAAAGTTAAAACCATTGTTTGCACTTTGAGGGTTGCCTTTCCAGATCTCTTGCTATGTGTTATATGTATTTTTAACAAAAAGGGACAGCACTGCAGGTATTCTTGTAAAGCGATTTTTAAATGTAATATAGCATGGACATGTATGTTAGGAAATATATTTGCATTAGAAATTTATGGCTGCATACATCATAATTTATTTAACCAAATCCCTATCTTTGTATTTTTGCATAGTTTCTAGGATTTTTCTGTTACCATTACCATTTGAGAATTTTGCTATTAATGTTAACCATTAACAGTGTGAACATTCATAAAAACACACACTATTGTGCACTTGTTTGATTATTTCCTTAAGATCCATTCCTAGGAGTGGCATTGCTTGGTCAAAAGATAATGCATATATTAAGGCTTTTGATCCGTATCACCCGATCAGACCAAAAATGTTTCTTCTCATCTACAGCATATGAAAGAGTCCAGTTTATCCCAACCCTAATCAGTACTAAACATTATCCTTCTTTTTCAGCTTTATGATCAGCGTTGTTTCTAACCTGATTATCCAAACACAAGATTTGGAGGACTTAGTGTTAAATGCATACTAGTTAATGTATTCAATTGGAAAGCTCCGGTCTCTCAAGAGTTCTGTATTGTTTCCATGGATACAGCAGCCTGTGTTGCTAAAGCTTTTGTAGATTTTAGTTCTGTGTTTGGCTGAAACTTCATAGACCTTCTACTGAGCCTATAGAATGTGTAGAGTTCATTACAGAAAACAGTATTTCACATTTTATAGAATCTGTTCTCCATTTTTTCATTGTATTATAACTTTCTTTTAAACATTCTAAAGACCAGCTGGCCCTAAATCACACTTTGTATGTTGTTATTGGTCTTTATTTCTTTTTACTGTTCAAACTCCTTTCTTAACATTTCTGTGCTATTATTGTGTATAATCAAAAAGAATGTTCTTATAATTCTGATAATTACTTCAGGGAGGGCCTGGCATTTGTTGAGCACCTACTATATGCTGGGCATTGTGCTAAGTGCATGTCACATATTTATCTAATCACAATAGCTCCATTTTACAAATGAGGAAATAGTGGCTTTAAAAGTTTCTAAGTTGTTCAAGGTCATACAGAGAATTAAGTAGCAGACAGAGGAGCCTCCAGTCTCACCTCATTTCTCATAGACTATGCTGCCTCAAGAAAGGAGGGTGTTAACTTTTGCAAGGATTAAACTCCTTTCCTTAAGAGCTTGTAAATGAAGATTCTTCCTTATTCTACTGAGAACAAATTAAATATAAGATATTGGATGAAAAATAATGGTCTTCAGTAGAGTCTCAGTGTTTCCATGGACTCCATTCTCTTTCTTGGCAGCTCTCCACACAAAATACTCATGCCTATCCCCCCCCCCAACTAAAAACCCCACCTAGAATTGAATCTACCTCAGCACACTTGCAAGCCCTTTGGCCCCATCTTGCCTGTCCTGGAGCATAGCTTGACACTTAATTATACGCATTGCCTTAGGTTAGTTCTTGTTGTGGTTGTTTGGGGGGTTTTTTGGCCTCTGTGAGCAGAGGCTGGATTTTAAGTTTCTTTTCCCTCCTCCTCCCCACTCCAGATTTGTCTAGGACAATTCTGAAGATGCTGAGAAGTCCTTAAAGTTTAAGATTCATACAGACTGAAGTTTGAGTTTGAGTTCTTGCTCCTTCATTCTCCAATTCTGTATTCTTGGGCAAGTTCTTGACTCTTTTTATCCCTCAAGTTCCTCATTTGTAACCTGTGTGATAGTACCTGCCTCCTCCAGGGTTGTTGTGAGGATTCAGTGAGCTAATGTCTGTAAAGCTCTTAGCACAGCACTTCCAACGTGCCTTTTATTTATTTGTTTGATTAATGCCAAATGATCACCAGCCATGTGCCAGGCACTGTTTTAGGCTTTTAGTGGTTCTCAGTGGAGGAGTGCAATTTGGCAATGTCTGGAGACATTTTTGATTGTCACAATCAAAGAGTGGAGGCTGCTCCCAGCATCTAGTTGGCAGAGGCCAAGGATGCCTCTAGACATCCTATAGGGCACAGAATAGCACCCCTGCAACAAAGAATTGTCTGGGCCAAAATATCAGTAATGCAAAAGCTAAAAGACCCTGCTTTGGAGGGATACAGTGGTAGCAATAAAATAGGAAAGGTCTCTGGTCTCATGAAGTCTACATTTTACTGGAAGAAGACAGTAAGCTAGTAAACAAATGGATGAAAACAATTTAGGTGATGTTAAGTGCTGTGATAACAAACAGAATATTGTGATAGTGACCAGGGATAGAGTGAATTTTATACACAGAGGTCTGGTAAGGTCTCTTTGAGGTTCCATTTGAGCCCAGTCTACCTGAATGACAAGATATGGCGAGTTAAACAGTGAGCAGGAAGAAGAGTGGTCCAAGCAGTACAGGGAAGAAGTGCAAAGGCTCTGAGGCAAGAGCATACTTTGCCTGTTTAGTGAACAGAAAAAAAGCCCACATAGCTGGAATATGGTGATTGCAGGGTAGGTAGGAGATGAGGTAGGCAAGATCCTACAGGGGCAGGGGTTGGCAAATGTGTCCTGTAAAGGGCTAGATAGTAAATATTCTAGGCTTTGCAGGCCATATGGTATCTGTCTCAGCTATTCAACTCTTGCATGAAAGCAGCCATAGACAACACATAAATCAGTTGGCGTGGCTGTATTCCAACAAAACAGGAGGCACACTGGACATGGCCTGTGGGCCGTAGTTTGGTGAACCCTGCTATCTGGCCTTGAAGGCCATAGTAAGGAGTTTGAATTTTAAAATCCAATCGGAAATCTTGTAGGACTTTAAAGAAAAGGAGTGACATGATCTATTTGACAGTGTGAAAGGATCGCTCCAGCTGTTGTGCGGACAAAGGATCCTCAGTGAGCTAGAGCCAGCTAGCCAGCTCTCCCTGCATCTTCTCACATGGTTTGTGACAGTCACACTTGGCTCCCTGTCATTTCCCACATAGACTTGGCACTTATTGGTCTCTGAGCCTTTGCTCATACTGTTTCCTCTGCCGGGACTTCCCCTTCACTCCCAGGAAACAGCACAGCTCACAGCCCTTCCTCCCTTTGCCCTGTTCTGTCATACCCCTCCTCCCTTTGCTTTACGTGGGCATGCCTGTTAGAGCGCTTATCTCAGCCAGCCTTGTAATCATAGCAGTGCCAGAAGGGCTACTGTTCAGGGAGTGTGAGCTGAGGCATCAGACACTTCTAAAATCTTTAGATACATTTTCTCATTTAATCCTTGTATCAACTTTATGTGGTGGATATTGTCCCCGTTTTCCAGGTGATAAAATCAGGGTTCTTCAGGCTACGTAACCTAAGTTCACCTAGCTAGAAAGGAGCTGAGGCCAGACATGGAGCCCAGCTGTCTCCGATTGCAAAGCCCTTGGGGATAGTGCTCTAGTTATGTCTGTACCCCCCACCAGTCTGTGAGCTCCTTGAGGGCAGGCGCTGTGTCTCATTCGTGTCTATGCCCTGTGCCTAGCACAGTGCCTGGCAGATAATAAATGCTCTATAAATGTTTATTACACTGAACTGGCTTCCAGTAACGTTCCATCTTAGTATTACAAATGTGCTATCTCCAAGACCACTAGATGTCACTTTCGATGCACAAATATGCCTAGAGTTTAATGTGGCTGAGAAGGTATTAAACAGCTTCTGGCCATTTAACAAAGACGAGACGAGCCTTTCTTTTAATTATGAATCTGGTCGTGGCCATCTGTTTTCAAGTACTTGACCATGACTCACTTGCCTTCCAGATGAGGTCTTGCATCAGTTTCCTCCCTATGGTGTATTCGCATTCTGGGATGCTACTGCTACAGCTTCTTACACTGCTATTTTTTTGTGTGTTATCTGTAGTAGTGACCTTAATCGATAAACATTTGAGCACCTATTGTGTATCAGGTACTGTGCTAGACTCTGGGGCTACAGAGATGAATTGAGACATGGCCTTTACCCTCAAGGAGCTCACAGTCTATTTGGGGAGACTGACAGGTAAATAATTACACTCTACTGTGTTAAGTATTGTAATAGAGGAATATAGAAAGTGCTGTTGAAGCCCAGAAGAAAGAATGGTTCCACCTGCAGGGGTCATAGAATGGTTTATTTGGAACTCACCAAAGGAATAAGGAAAACATAGGGGACAGTGGATTTCAGATAGAGGGCAAAGGCATGGAGGCTTGGGAGAGGACGAGTTTGGGAAGAGGAGTAGATGGTATAAATATATGTCTAATGTAAGGTATGTAGAAGAGAATGAGAGGAATGAGAGTGGAAAGGTAGCTTGGGGTGGCAGGGCTCGCTAGTCTATAGAGAGCCTTCAGTGCCACCCAAAGGGCTTTAGACCTGACCCTCTAGGTTGTAAGCCACTCTGAGAGTCTTTTGCCGGGGGAACGACCCAGTGTGTTTTATGCTTTAGACAGCTAACTGCAGAGGACAGCCTGGCAGCTGGACAACCTTATTACCAATTGCGACAGACCTCATGAGTCACAACGAGGCCTTGAGCTTGAGCTGTTGGAATGGAAATGAGAGAAGATGTGAGAAATGGAATGGTTTAGAGAAAGAACAGACAGAGTAGTGGGTGCCGGTGTTGAGAGAGTGGAGTCAAAACTTCATAATGAAGCTGTTCCCTGGGATACAGGAAGCAGGAATTTTAAGCAGATGAAAGAGAATTATGAAGAACCCAGGCTAATATCTGTCCATTAGCCTACGGGGCGGGGCGGCGGTAGGGGGGACTGTAACTGGGCCCTCTCTTCAGTCATCATAACAGAATGTTGTCATGAGAGCCGAGAGGTCTGAAAACACGCAGCTCTCTCCTGGAACTGCACTATGCCAGCCTTGCTTTTGGAACTACCCATTGGTTCCTATTTAGCAACTAGGGCAGTGTTGCTTTCCCCGCCTCTGCTTCCAGTGCCCTGCCATTCAGGGAAGAGAATGTTATTTTTCTGAAACTGGTAAGTGGGATTGCAGGAGGAGAATTGTTAGTAGACCATGCCTGCCTCAGGATCCAGGCTGTTGCTAAGGAAAGTAACAGGAGCCAAAAATGGACATCAGCAACCAGAGAGAAGCAAGAAAATGTTAATCATTCCAGAGCTTGTGTGTCAGGGAAAGTAGCGGCCCAATGTGGCACATATGTGAATAGACCTCATTTTGGCCTCAATATCTCATTTGCCTTTTGTGTTTCTCCTTTAGGGTTGGTGTTGATTCCGACCAAGAACATTTGGTAAATATGCATTTGTGTTGTCTCTAGCATTCCCATCAAACGTGCAGCCGTTCAGAAAGAAAATGGCCTCCCGTAGACTTCATGCCACTATTGTTTTAGATGCTGTCCTGTTTGTACCAGCTTTTAACTGACATCATTACTGGCTTTTCTCACTGCTCCATAGAGACAAAACCAAATTTTAGACAACATGTGGTTATCAGGGGTGACGGCTCTCCTATCTGTGGGCCAGCCTGAGCTTTGGCCGTGGAGGGGAACAGTCTCTTAAGCGCTCCTGGGTTTTCAAGCGACTGCTCTGGCACATGGAGCCTTTTTCCACTCTGGTTTGCGCATGAAGGCTTGTCTCTGATGTCAGTCCCACTCCAGCTGCTCTTCCTGTGTAACTTTCAAATTGGATGACCAGCAGCTGCCCTTGAGAACCTCCTAGAAGCTTTGAAATCTTTAACCAGTCTTCCCTGGCTGTTCAGGAGAATGTACTTTTTTATACTTTCCCCCTGCCTTTACCTTGCCCATGAATCCTTGCTTAATTCGAGGTGTCCTTTTCTCATTTGTTCCTCTGAACCTGAGCCCGGTAGGTCACTTCTCTAGACTGGCCACCTTTTCTGCTGTTTTCCATCTGCTTTTTAATGGCTTCTGAACACCACTGAATACATGACGCTATCCTAGACATTAGATAGGAAATCACAGAAATTATGTTTTTAAAGATGGAAAGCCTCTCTTCCAAAACATATTCTTTTTCTTGTCTGAAACAAGCTGTGGTCTATTTGTCTTCAGGGTGTAGTTCAAAAAAGAAAAACATTTCTCAGATTCATTTCCTAAATGCTAATTTTGTTAGCTGTTGAGTGATGAGTGTGTATGTAATACAGTAAGTACTTGCCTCTTTTGTGGTCAGAACTGGACAAGTATAGTTTCACGGGCTAGAAATACTTGTGCAAACCAGGCTGGATAAATCCCCATGATGCCGAGATGCTGGGCTAGTTTCTAAGAGGTAGTAGTTCTTCAGTGCTTCCACCCTCGTGTCCGAACAAGAATAAAGTATCATACAATTCACCAGACAAATGCTTGGTCATGATCCACATAAGTCTCCGTCTGCTATGTCACCTCTGTCACCACAGAGGAGAAAGGGGAATGGAGAATCCCAGGTAGGTGAGTACTAGCTGTAAGATACAGAAAAAAAATACCATTTTTCCCTTGCTTTCCAAACCCTATGGGTGTCTTGCTTTGTTATATTGTGTAGGCAATATTTCAAGTGTCCCCTGGGAAGCAGAGAGGAATGTGATAGTAAGTAATGAAGTATATAGGGTTTAGGTGTATAAGTGTTTTGCGGTGAGGGAATCATGAGATTTATAGATCACACTACTACCTGTGTGAAAGGAAGGAAGTACAGGTGTTTTTCAGCTCTCCTAAGCCCATACAGCATTCTCAAACATTCTTATATTGTATATGTTTTGATACATGTTGAGAGGAAGATTGATTAATTGATTTTGAAGATTAGGAAGGATAGGAAAGAACCAAAATCCAGTATATAAACTCCGTGTTCTCAGAAAGCATAGAACCGTGGAACATCCACGCTAGAAAGGGCCTTTGAGATTCTTTACACCTTGCACCGCATACACAAAGAAATCCAGGCTCAGAGGGGGGAAGGGACTTGTCCAACTAGTTCATGTCAGAGCTGAGATGAACCAGATTACCTAACTCCCATTGCTGACTGTGCCACATTACAAATAAGGACCCAGTTTGTTTTTGGAAACTATTTTAGAAGAGGCCTGCTTGCTATGTTAGTTTTCAGTTCTAGCCAGTCAGGCTTACCATGGAATTTTTTTTTTTTTGCTAGCTTTCATTTTGCTAGTGTTTTAAGAACATAGTAGCATCTTTGCAAATGCCAGTTACTTTTGGAACCCATAACAACTCCCAAAGATAGGGATAAGATGTCAATGTGATGTTTTCTACTTAAGATGCAGTTCACATTGTGGGTATAAGTCTTTCAGATTTAAGGATGAATTATTCTACATTGATTTTTTTTAAATGACAATAGACTCACAAATCAGCAGGCAGCCTGAGTAATAGAGGTGTTTGGAAAAACATTTCAATTTTGTATTCCAAAGCTGCAATATACAAGCTATTAAGTTTCTAATGTTACCCATGATAGAGAGTATCTTGTATGAAGTAGGCCCTCTTTCCAAGTCTACAAATAAATGATTCTAAATAAATGGTTTTTTGTCTTGGTATATGTATTGATTTCTTTATTATCTGTTTGCAGGGTATTCCTGAAAATGAGAGAAGAACCACCAAAGCAGAGAGTGCCTGGCTTTTCCGGATATGGTACAACTTTGACCATAAGTATCCTTAACTGAGGGGAAAACATGGTAGTGTGAACATGGCCAGTTTCAACTTAGTGGAACAGCTCTTCTGACTCTTCCCTTCCTGAAGTGGAATACAAAACCTACCTTGGGTCTTCCCTTTCCCCTTCAGTGTGGTGGCTGGAGAAGGTTATTAAAGGCAATCCACACAAACCAGTTCCCCTGAAAAACCCATGAAGCCACCAGGGACCAGTTCATGCAAAACGTGGCTGTGTGAAGAGCCTCAGGAGCCCTTATGGTAGACTTTTCTTCCATCTTTTGTCCTATTTATTGAGCAGTCATTGTCTTTTACCTGATTTAGTGAATCTTGCAAAAGATACTTGCTGGTCCTTGTCAGTGCACTTGCTAGGGTAAAAGAGGAAAGGCTGCCTTAGGGAAGAGCTCAAGGATGAGATGAAAATAGAGTCATATTAGAGATAACAGTAGCCAGTGATGGGCCTGTTTTTCCTAAGCTTTCAGGAGGCTGGAAGATTTGCCTCTCTACTCAGGGTGCCAGTGCTTCATTGTTCACCAAATCTCTTTCTTCTCCTGTTGTAACTGTCTTCTTCATAATGCTACTTTGGGTCGTGTTATGTTCTATGACCTGTTTAAAGTGTGCCTTTTAAAAAACATTTTATCCCTTACTATTTATTAAAATGAATTTTCTTTTAAAGATTTTTACTAGGGACACCTGGGTGGCTCAGCGGTTGGGTCCCTGCCTTCGGCTCAGGTCCTGATCCCGGGATCAGAGATCGAGTCCCACATTGGGCTCCCTGCGAGGAGCCTACTTCTCCCTCTGCCTGTGTCTCTGCCTCTCTCTCTCTCTCTCTGTCTGTCTCACTCATGAACAAATAAATAAATCTTAAAAAAAGATTTTTAACTTATTTGGGAGAGAGAGCAAACATGAGAGAGAGAAAGAGAGCATGAGCAGAGGGGAAGGGTAAAAGGAGAAGCAGACTCCCCACTAAACAGGGAGCCCAATGCAGAACTCGATCCCAGGATCTTGGGATCATGACCTGAGCCAAAGGCAGATGCTTAACTGAGCCACTCAGGGACCCTGAAATCAACTTCTTAGTTGAAAATTGAACTGGAAAAAGCTAACATGTAGTTCTTTCAGGCTGAGGCTTATTAGTAAATGAATCAAAAAGTGATTCATGTTCCACCAAAGAGAATTTGGGACAACCATGTAAAAAATGTTTCCCTTGTTATTGACTTTCTGATGGAAGCCTTATATATTTAAGAAAAATGCACATGGTACTTACCATTAGAAGCTACTATTTACTATATTGCCTTTGTGAGATCTTTATAGTCACTTTTTGCAAGTACTCAAGATTAAATTACTATATGGAAATAAGAATGCAAGCATGTGTGTGGTATTAAGACTCCCAATAGGGAGAGAGATCCTGCCTCTTTAAAATTGTTTAATGATTATGTCATTAATTTTGGCTCCATTATCAGCATTTTGGGTTATAAGCCACTCCCATATCTCTTGGAGCTTTTTCTTCCCTCTGATTTAACAAAAATTGTCTACTGTTTGTTGCATAAAATGTTTTGTACATTTTCTGCATAATGTATGTACAAAACAAATAATCCTAATGCAGAGAAAGAGTAGAATAATAGCTTATTTTTTCTGTATATTCTTATAGAAGTAAACACTAAGATTTGACTCAGTACTACACTGTTAAGTACTACTAGACTAAGACTCAGTAATTTTTTTTTTTTTTTTTTTTTTTTTTTTTTAGTGAGAGAGAGAAGAGAGAGAGATTGAGAGCTGGGGCAGGGAGGGGCAGATGGAGAGGAGGAGAGAGAATTCTAAGCAGACTCCACACCCGACGTGAGGCTCAGTCTCTTGACCTTGAGATCATGACCTGAGCTGAAATCAAGATGGGATGCTTAACTGATTGAGCCACCCAGGCACCCCAAGACCCAGTAATTTTAATACCTAGTGCCCTAGTAGAATTAATCATTCATCATTCTAGATTTCAAGTCCTTTGTGTAGCCAGATTGTTATAATTGAGATATAACTTAAATAATATACCCAGATCTTAAGCTTGCAACCTATGTGTATATACCTATGTGGTTGCTACTCATGTGAAGATACATAGAACATTCCCAGCATCCCAGAAGCTGCCCTGTGTTCCCTTACAGTCAGTAGTGCCTTCCCTGCCACTCCCTTCCCCATAAAGGGCAACCAGTTATTCTGATTTCTAGCAACATGGATTGGTTTTACCTGGCTTTGATCTTCATATAAATGGAATCATATATTATGTATTATTTTATCTCTTGCTTTTTTCACTTAGCAACATGTAATTTATCCATATTGTTGCTTGTAGCAGTAATTCCTTCTTCTTCATTCCTGTATGGCGTTCCATAGTGTGATTATACTACAGATTTCTTTGGGGTTTTTTTCCAACCATTCTATGGATGAACATTTGGGTTGTTTCCAGCTTTTGGCTATTACGAACAAAGTTAAACATCCTTGTATGCATCTCTTGCTGACCATCAGCACTCATATCTCTTGGGTATGTGCCTAGGAGAAAAATCTAAGGCAAGTATATTGTTCAGCTTTAATAGATATTGTCAACCAGTTTTCCACAAGGGTCATAACCAATTTACATGCCCACTGGCAACTCAAGGGAGTCCCACTTGTTCCACATCTCCACCAAAACTTGATGTTTAATCAACCTTTTAAATTTTAGCCATTTCCATGGGTGTGTAGTGATAACGCATGTGGTGTAATTTGCACTTCTGTCATGGCCAATGAGATCATGCATCCCTTCATATGTTTATTGGCTATTTGGACTTCTTTTTTTTGAAGTGTGTTTTAGTTATTTTGCCCATTATTTTTTTTTATTTTTTTTTATTTACGGTAGTCATACAGAGAGAGAGAGAGGCAGAGACACAGGCAGAGGGAGAAGCAGGCTCCATGCACCGGGAGCCTGACGTGGGATTCAATCCCGGGTCTCCAGGATCGCGCCCCGGGCCAAAGGCAGGCGCCAAACCGCTGCACCACCCAGGGATCCCATATTTTGCCCATTATTTAATTGAATTGTCTTATCTTTTTCTTACTGACTTGTAGTTCTTTTTTGTTCCAGAATTGGATTCTCTGTTGGTTATATGTACTATGAATATCTTCTATGTGGTCTCTGTATACAATGGAATATTACTCAGCCATTAGAAACAACAACAAATATGTTGGCAAATTGAACTGCAATTTAAATTTTTTAATTAATTAATTAATTAATTTTAAAAAGAATATCTTCTCCTAGAGTGTAGCTCACCTTTTCTTTTTCTTGTTCCTGTCTTGTGAGGAACAGAAATTCTTCATTTTAATGAAGTTTACTTTTCTTTTGGTGCTTTTGTGTCTTTATAAATCTTTTATATCCCAAGGTCCTGTGTTTTCTTCTAAAAATGTGATTGTCTTAGCTATCATATTTAAGTCTTTGACCCACCACAAATTAGTTTTTGTGTATGGTGTGAGGTATGGGTCAAGACCTACTTTTTTCCCATATGAGTAAGCAATTGACCCAGCACCACTTATTGAAAAGGCTATCCTTAATCCACTAAATTGCAGTGGAACCTTTGTTGTAAATCACTTGGCCATATGAGTAGAAGTCTGTTTCTGGACTTTCTTTTCTCTTTGACTTTTTTTTCCACATCAATACCACATTCTGTTAATGATTGTACTTTGTAATAAATCTTGCTATCCAATATGGGAAATTCTACAGGTATGTTATTCCTTAGTGTTGCCTTGTTTATTTTAGGTTCATTGCATTTTCATCTGAATTATAAAAACAGCTTGCCACTTTCCATACACTCACTCACTCACTCATCCACTCACCAAAAAGACCTGCTGGCAATTCTCTCAGGTTTGTATTAAATCAACAGATGAATTTGGAGAGAACTGACATCTTAAAAATGTTAGGTCTTCTAGTCTGTGAACACAGTAGATCCTTCCATTTCTTTAGATCTTCTTTAATGTCTCTCATTAATGTTTTATAGTTTTCAGTGACAGGTCTTGCACATCTTTATAATATTTACTATCCCTAAGTATTTGATGCTATTGCAAAAGGTATTTATTTTATCTTCTACTTGTTTGCTCTTAATATTTAGATCTACAATGGGTTTTTTATATATTGACCTTGTATCCAACAATCTTGTTAAGTTCACTTATTATTATAAAATAGTTTGTAGATTCTTTCTTATTTACTGTTCATAAAATCAAATGAAAAATAATGTGTTCTTTTTTCTTTTGTAACACTTTACATTTTTTTATGTCTTATTACACTGGCCGGACCTCTCCAGTACAGTGTTGAATATAAGTGATGATAATGGAAATTTTTGTCCTATTCTTGACCTCAGAAGGAAAATTTTTAATAAATCACCATTAAGTATGATGTTAGCTATTGTGTTTTGAGATAGCCTTTGTCAGATTAAGGATACCCCTTCTGGGCAGCCTGGGTGGCTCAGCGGTTTAGCATCGCCTTCAGCCCAGGGCCTGATCCTGGAGACCCGGGATCAAGTCCCACGTCGGGCTCCCTGCATGGCGCCTGCTTCTCCCTCTGCCTGTGTCTCTGCCTTCTCTCTCTCTCTCTCTCTCTCTCTCTCTCTCTCTCTCTCTCATAAATAAAATCTTTATTAAAAAAAGGATATCCTTTTCTTTTTATAAATTAAAAAATAAATAAATAATAATAGTTTAATCATACATAAAGATATTCATTACTACACAATTTCAATGCCAAAGTAAATTAATATAAATATCTTGTAATGTAGACAAAATTGAATAAATTAAAAAAACATCATCTCACTGGAAAAAAAAAAAGGATATCCCCTTCTATTTCTAGTCTGCCGAGAGTTTTATCATGAACAGGCATTGAATATTATTAGATGCTCTTTCTGCATCAATTGAGATGATCATGTATTTAATTTGTTCTCCTTTAATCTGTCATCATTTTGCTTATTTTCATTGAATACTAAACCAGTCTTGCATGGCTGGAACAAAAACCCACTTGGTTGTGATACACATCCCTTGTGTGTGTGTCACAGGATTTAGTTTATTGACATTTTTGTGTCTGATTTTTGTGTCTGTTTTCATGAGAGATACTGGTTTGTGGGGTTTTTGTCATTGTTGTAATGTCCTTGTCAAGCATCTATAACAAGATAATGCTGGTTTAATGAAGTGAGTGGGGAAGAATTTTTCTCTTTTTTGATTTTCTGGAGAATTGATATTTTTTCTTCCTTTTTTTTTAAATGTTTTTTTTTATTTATGATAGTCACACACACAGAGAGAGAGAGAGAGAGAGAGAGGCAGAGACACAGGCAGAGGGAGAAGCAGGCTCCATGCACCGGGAGCCCGACGTGGGATTCGATCCCGGGTCTCCAGGATCGCGCCCTGGGCCAAAGGCAGGCGCCAAACCGCTGCGCCACCCAGGGATCCCATATTTTTTCTTCCTTAAGTGCTGGGAAGACTGTACCAGTGAAGTCACTTGGGCCTGGAATATTTTGTCTGAGAAGGATTTTTAATAGATATAGGACTAGTTCTCCTTTTTATTTCTTATATATTTTTTAAGATTTTATTTATTGATGACACACACACACACACGGGGGGGGGGCAGAGACACAGGTGGAGGGAGAAGAAGGCTCCATGCAGGGAGCCTGATGTGGGACTCAATCCTAGGACTCCAGGATCACGCCCTGAACCGAAGACAGATGCTAAACCGCTGAGCTACCCAGGGATCCCCTAGTTCTCATGTTTAAAAGACTATTTGAGAGAGAGAGAGCTTGTGCACGCACAGGTTGGGGGAGGAGCAGAGGGAGAGGCAGAGAAGAATCTCAGGCAGACTCTGCACCAAGTGTGGAGCCCAGCATAGGACTCAATCGCACAACCCTGAAATCACGACCTGAGCTGAAACCAAGAGTCAGACACTTAACCAACTGAGTCACCTAGGTGTCCCAAGACTATTCCTCATTTTTAACTGAGGACAGCCTTAGGTTGTGACTTTAGAAAGTGAAGAATATTTATATGTGTTTTTCTCCCATTGTCTCTACTTTTTCTTGATTCCCTCTTGTTTTCTTCCTGGTATCATATATATTATCATGACTTTTTTATTTTTTGGTGAATAAATGAATACTGAAATGAGGGTCTATGATAGAGGAATTCATGATACATATTTTTTTCAACTTTTTTGGAATTGAATTTCCCTTGATACAAAGTTTCAACACCTTCAAGAGGCCAGCTGAATTCACAATAAATGATTAAAAACATTTTTGCTGCTAAATTCTGCAACTGGAAAATTTCATCTTTTTTCTAACTCTTAGTACTCTTTACTTTCTACCATTCTCTCCTTCAGTGCTAAATTGAGAGCGATTCTGTCTTCCCTTTGGTTTTAGTAAAATCAGAAAGGCAATATGATGTAGTGGACATGGCAGAGGACTTGGAATCCAACCAATCTGGATTTGTGTGTGGGTCCTTCACTTGCTTCATTGTGTGACTTTTAAGCAGATCATTCCTTTGCCTGAACCTTGGTTTCCATTTCTATGAAACAGAGATCATAACAAAATCTCCCTTTCCTGTCTCACTGGCATAATGTGGTGATGAAATGAGGCAACATATGTGAAAGCCCTTTGCTGTCCTTTGAAGTGGCGGGTACACCTTGAGGGTGGTGGTAGTGATCATGTGACTTGTTCTTTTGCATTTGCGAAGACAGGTATGTGGCTATTCCTTAACCAGCACAGCTATCTGAAGCCTCTGTTGACGCACAGTGGACCTCCTCTCACTACAACACTCCCTGCCTGCTGCGGGCCCATCGCCAGATGCCTGACCAGTCCCCAAGCTTATGAAGTAAGTTGGTTTTATCCAAAACCTAAGTTCTTCATGAAGTTAAATTTATCTGCTCTGTGACTGCATCACTGGTTTGTTTTTGCTTTGCTTGCCTTTAAGGTGATAAAACCCGTAAGAGGGAATATAAGCTTATTTTGCCCAGCCAGAAAGTACATACAGATACATAGAGAAATCTATAGATGCAATTCACAGTCTCTGAAACATCATTTGAAAACAGATCTAGGGTATGACCTCATCTAACTGTCAGTGATTTCGGTAAATAATTCTATTTTCACAGGGTTTTCATTTATTTGCAGTATGTGGCCAAAGCTTGGTGCTGAATGTGTTATGTTTTCATCTACTAATTAGAGTGGTCACACTCATGTTGAAAGGATTAATAAAACAATTTTTGATACCTCTAAAGTGCAACAGATGGTCCTTTACTTCAAACCTGCCAACTTTTGGACATCCAGGAGAGTTTATCTACCAGTGTTCCGCATTGCTAGGCAGCATGAGCATGTCTAGTTAGAACCTAGACAGTATTTTTTTTCCTTAGCTATAAACATGTGATTGGTGATTCAGCAAGCATTGCAACACAGAAAGAAATGACAAATGCTAACCAGCCTTTTTTTTTATTTCAAATGTACAACTTTATTTATTTTTAAATTTTTAAAATTTTTTATTGGAGTTCATTTGCCAACATTTGGCATAACACCCAGTGCTCATCCCGTTAAGTGCCCCCCTCGGTGCCCATCACCCATTCACCCCAACACCCCACCCACCTCCCCTTCCACTACCCTTTGTTCGTTTCCCAGAGTTAAGTGTCTCTCATGTTTTGTCACCCTCACTGATATTTTCACTCATTTTCTGTCCTTTCCCTTTATTCCCTTTCACTAATTTTTATATTCCCCAAATGAATGAGACCATATAATGTTTGTCCTTTTCCGATTGATTTATTTCACTCAACACAATACCCTCCAGTTCCATCCAGTTCGAAGCAAATAGTGGGTATTTGTTGTTTCTATTGGCTGAGGAATATTCCATTGTATACATAGACCACATCTTCTTTATCCATTCATCTTTCCATGGACACTGAGGCTCCGTCCACAGTTTGGCTATTGTGGACATTGCTGCTATAAACATTGGAGTGCAAGTGTCCCAGCATTTCACTGCATCTGTATCTTTGGGGTAAATCCCCAGCAGTGCAATTGCTGGGTCATAGGGCAGATCTATTTTTACCTTTTTGAGGAACCTCCACACAGTTTTCAGAGTGGCTGTACCAATTCACATTCCCACCAACAGTGCAAGAGGGTTCCCCTTTCTCCACATCCTCTCCAACATTTGTTGATTCCTGTCTTGTGAATTTTCCCCATTCTCACTGGTGTGAGGTGGTATCTCATTGTGCTGTTGAGTTGTATTTCCCGGATGGCAAGTGATGCGGAGCATTTTCTCATGTGCTTGTGGCCATGTCTTTGTCTTCCTCTGTGAAATTCTGAGCTGTCTTTTGCCCATTTCATGATTGGATTGTTTGTCTCTTTGCTGTAAAGTTAAATACGTTCTTTATAGATCTTGGATACTAGTCCTTTATCTGATAGGTCATTTGCAAATATCTTCTACCATTCTGTAGGTTGTCTTTTAGTTTTGTTGACTGTTTCTTTTGCTGTGCAGAAGCTTGTTATCTTGATGAAGTCCCAATAATTCATTTTTGCTTTTGTTTCTCTTGCCTTCATGGATGTATCTTGCAAGAAGTTGCTATGGCCAAGTTCAGAAAGGGTGTTGCCTGTGTTCTCCTCTAGGATTTTGATGGACTCTTGTCTCACATTTAGATCTTTCATCCATTTTGAGTTTATCTTTGTGTCTGGTGTAAGAGAATGGTCTAGTTTCATTCTTCTGCACGTGGTGGTCCAATTTTCCCAGCACCATTTATTGAAGAGACTGTCTTTTGTCCAGTGGATAGTCTGTCCTGCTTTGTCGAATATTAGTTGACCATAGAGTTAAGGACCCACTTCTGGGTTCTCTATTCTGTTCCATGGATCTATATGTCTGTTTTTGTGCCAGTACCACACTGTCTTGATGACCACAGCTTTGTAGTACAACCTGGAATATGGCATTGTTATGCCCCTAGCTATGGTTTTCTTTTTTAATATTCCCCTGGCTATTCGGGGTCTTTTCTGATTCCACACAAATCTTAAGATGATTTTGTTCCAACTCCCTGAAGAAAGTCCATGGTATTTTGATAGGGATTGCATTAAATGTGTAAATTGCCCTGGGTAACATTGACATTTTCACAATATTAATTCTGCCAATCCATGAGCATGCAATATTTTTCCATCTCTTTGTGTCTTCCTCAATTTCTTTCAGAAGTGTTCTGTAGTTTTTAGGGTATAGGTTTTTACCTCTTTGGTTGGTTTATTCCTAGGTATCATATGCTTTTGGGTGCAATTGTAAATGGGATTGACTCCTTCATTTCTCTTCCTTCAGTCTCATTGTTAGTGTATAGAAATGCCACCAATTTCTGGGCATTGATTTTGTATCCTGCCACACTGCCGAATTGCTGTATGAGTTCTAGCAATCATGGGGTGGAGTCTTTTGGGTTTTCTATGTACAGTATCATGTCATCTGCGAAGAGGGAGAGTTTGACTTCTTCAATGCCAATTTGAATACCTTTTATTTCTTTTTGTTGCCTGATTGCTGAGGCTAGGACTTCTAATTCTATGTTGAATAGCGTTATGAAAGTGGGCATCCCTATCATATTCCTGATCTTAGGGGAAAGGCTCCCAGTGTTTCCCTATTGAGAATGATATTTGCTGTGGGCTTTTGTAGATGGCTTTTAAGACGTTGAGGAATGTTCCCTCTATCCCTACATTCTGAAGAGTTTTGATCAGGAATGGATGCTGTATTTTGTCAAATGCTTTCTCTGCATCTATTAGAGGATCATATGCTTCTTGTGTTTTCTCTTGTTGATATGATCAATCACATTGATTGCTTTACGAGTGTTGAACCAGCCTTGCATCCCAGGGATAAATCCCACTTGGTCATGGTGAATAATCTTCTTTTTTTGAATCCTTTTTTAAGATTGATTGATTGATTGATTGATTGATTTATGAGAGAGAGAGAGAGAGAGAGAGAGAGAGAGAGAGAGAGAGAGGCAGAGACCAGGAGGAAGGAGAAGCAGGCTCCATGCGGGAGCCCGACGTGGGACTCTATCCTGGGACTCCAGGATCGTGTCCTGGACCAAAGGCAGGCGCTAAACTGCTGAGCCACCCAGGGATCCCCTGAATAATCTTAATGTACTGTTGGATCCTATTGGCTAGTATCTTGTTGAGAATTTTTCCATCTGTGTTCATCAGGGAGATTGGTCTATAATTCTCCTTTTTGGTGGGGTCTTTGTCTGGTTTTGGAATTAAGGTGATGCTGGACTCATAGAACGAGTTTGGAAGTATTCCATCTCTTTCTATCTTTCCAAAAGCTTTAGTATAATAGGTATGATTTCTTCTTTAAACGTTTGATAGAATTCCCCTGGGAAGCCATCTGGCCCTGGACTTCTGTGTCTTGGGAGGTTTTTGATGACTGCTTCAATTTCCTCTCTGGTTATCGGCCTGTTCAGGTTTTCTATTCCTGTTCCAGTTTGGTAGTTTGTGGTTTTCCAGAAATGCGTCCGTTTCTTCTATATTGCCTAATTTATTGGCGTATAGCTTCTCATAGTAAGTTTTTAAAACCTTTTGTATTTCCTTGGTATTGGTGGTGATCTCTCCTTTCTCATTCATGATTTTATTAATTTGAGTCTTTTCTCTCTTCTTTTTTAAGGCTGGCTAATGATTTATCTATCTTATGAATTTTTTCAAAGAATCAACTCCTGGCTAACCAGCCTTTATTTTAAAACATGAACTTCTTATTTTTCAAGTTCTTTTTTTAAAAAAAAACTTTTCTTCCAACCCAACCCTTCAGAAATAATCTGTGGCATCAAATATAGTACCCACATGAACAAAGCCCACCACCTGGACTAGTCTGATGCAACCACTTGAATAGAGCAGCAAGGCAATGGCAAAGCAGTGTAGTCATGCAGCATGTAGTTTTCTACAACGTCCTCTGTGGTATGTTAGGGCAGAGCCCACAGAGGATGGACAGGAAAAGGAGTCTTAATGGAGGTGGCACCCACAGGGCAGGGTGCCCTATAGCTTTGTGGTACATTGAGTCCATGTACCTTTCTGACAGGTCATACCGGGGTGAGGGGAGCACCTATGTTGTCTTGTCTCTCTGCTACATTGCCCAGTCTCCCCTCTCCAGCAGTTTCCTTTTCCTCTGTGCCCTGTCAGACGAGACTTTGTGTAGAGTGCAGCCAGCTTTGTCAGTTCAGTCAGCGAGGCTTGGCTCTTAGATTCCAGAGACCCACTCACTGTCACCAGAAGCCAGGAGTTCCACAATAACTGTGTGTCCTGTGGAATATAGCAAAATACAACATTGTTGTATTCATTTCCTAGGACTGCCATAATGAAGTGCCATAGACTGAATGGCTCAACAGAGATGTGTTGTCTCATAGTTCTGGAGGCTCGAAGTCTGAGGTCAAAGTGTGGGCAGGGGTGGTTCCTGCTGAGAGCTATGAGGAAGAATCTGCTCCAGGCCTCTCCTCAGCTTTTGTCTTTATCTTCACATGACATTGTGTGTGTGTGGGGGGCAAATGTCCCCTTTTTTAAGGACACTCAACAGTCATATTGGATCAGGGCCCACGCTAATGACTTCTTCTTAACCTGATCATCTGCAAAGACCCTATTTCCAAGTAAGATTGCATTCACAGGTACTGGTGGTTGGGATTTCAACATCTTTTGGGGAGATCTCATCTAACCCATAACAACCATAAAACTTAATTTTTAATGTTATTTTTCATTTAATTACCTGCTTTTTTAGTTATAAAAGTTACCATACTTGTGGCCAGATATTCAAACAGTATGGAACAAAGTAAAAAACCAAAGTTTGCTCCTTCTCCCAACTACATCCCCCCCAGAGGTAGTCTTTATGAAGGATTTATTGTGTGTCCTTCCTGATATATTTTATCTGCACAAACATACATATCTATATAGCTTTGTTACAGTTTTATATAAATGAGATCGTAATTGCATTGTCCTGCTACTTGGTTTTTTTTTCACTTGATGACATAGCATGGCTACCTTTCTATGAGTACCTGAAGACCATTACCTTCTCTTTATCCATGGCTGAATAGTGTGGCTGGACCATCATTGATTTAATCAGTCTCTTACAGCTAGACCTTTAGGTTGTTTCTTTTCCTTTTTTTGTCATTACAAACCATGTTTATAGTAAATATTCTTGTACTTAGGAATTTATCCAAGTATATAAAGGTATGTAAAATAGATTTTAAAGGTTAAATTGCTGAGTCAAACGGCATATATGCATTTTAAAATTTGATAGATACTGCCCCAAACCTCAAACTTAATAAAGACCTTAGAAGGTGCTGAAGAGCCCCTGCTGGTGTGCAAAGGCACCCCAGAGCTTTGTTGTGAGTATTGCTCAGGAAGGGGACAGACCCTGGTGAGCTTTCACGTTATACTGCACCAGTCAAGAGGGCATTCTGGTTGGTTGGTGGAATGAGTTTGTTTCATTTTTAATTCACATGGCTTTGAGTATTTAGGCAAATTTCAAGCAATAGCAAATTAAAACTTTTACATTTGTATCAGTCTCCTTAGTCTATCATAGACAAATTTAAGATTTCCAAACACAGTTTAGAAGAGCTGGATGTCAAAGTTTGTATCAACTCTACTTCTCTGAAGGAGTATTAGTCACAGAAGCTTTTTTGCCAGATCCATAGGAGTTTTTAGAATGATTGTTTCACTTTATATTAGAAAACAATGACTTTTGGATTTTTAAAAGTCATATGTACTTATTATAATACAATTTCAAACAGTGTGGAACATAAGATAAATCACTAGCAATTTTATTATGCAGAATTAATGATCATCGTTTTGTTGATTACCTTTCCAAACTTTTCTCTGCACGCATAACATTCTTTTATTTACCAAATTGGCATTACATATGCTTGATTTTTTTCCCCCCTTTTGTAGAACTTTACTTAATTCTACTCTTTTGGCCACAAAGTCTCCATTAGAACCAAAAGCTTATTGAGCTGGAACACAAGTATATGGTGAGGGTTCTGCATATTTGGGGAATATTATATCTCTAGGCATTGCTCATATAGAAGTAATAGCTTCACTTACATAAATCCACTCAATAATCCATCAAATTTACATTTGGAGGATACTTTCTGTGTGCCCCTACCTGTTAGGTGTTTGGACTACAGCAAAGGGGCTCAGAGGCTAGTAGTGTAGGATGTGAGAGCAGACCAGTGCACCTGCAGTTGTGGTACAGGGATAAAGGGCACTGTAGGGCCAGAAGTCAGCACAGGATGCCGGGAGAGAACACAGGAGGCACACTGAAGCCAGTTTTGCTAGATCATAGAAGACGTCCAGCAGGAAGGGACTTTAACCAAGACCTCAGTGATAAACAGGCTCTAGTCCCAGGAAGGAGGGCAGGGGAGACAGGAGGTAAGAGGAAGCATGAGTGATTTGGGCACCTTTCAGCAGTTCAGACAGCAGGCACACAATGTGGAGGCTGGAGTGGGTGAGGCAGATGCAGGGGGCTGGGGGTGGGGAGGGGAGGGCCAGACTCACACAATATCTTTAAGCTAAGGTGAGGGCTATAGGCTTTATCCTGAGGGCTGCAGGCTAGCCCTAAAGGGTTTTTAATAGGGAACCCTTGCAAATTCTTCTATTGAAAATGTTTGTTGAGTCGCATAGCAATTCTTAAGACTTATTTTATTTGCATTTAGAACCAGGAGCAATTGAAAGATGATGACTCCGATCTTATTCTCAATGATGGTGATATTAGTTTGACATATGGGGATTCTACTGTGAACACCGAATCAGGAGCATCTGGTGCCCCTAGAAGGTTTATGGGAAACAGTTCCGAAGATGCCTTGGATCGGGAGCTTGCATTTGGGGACCACGAACTGGTCATTCGGGGAACACGCCTGGTTCTTCCTATGGATGATTCCGAACCCCCATTAAATTTGTTAGATAATACAAGACACAGTCCAGCCTAAGCTTACTAATACTCCCTTAGTGATTTGTAAAATTTGCACATGTGATTGTGAAGAAATTTGTACTACCTAAAAAGTCCCAGTGCATGTTTCTGAATGTTTAAGCTATATAAATGCTCTTTATATGGCATTGAGAGAATATAAATATCCTGTACAAGGCAGATTGTGAACAAACTATTCTTTTACATTTCATTGGCTGCACTATGTAGATTGGATCTGTTCTAGAAAAAAGTTATTTTCACAGTGATGTTGTGTGTTCTGTTAGTTTTATGTCTCAGTTAAAGTATAAGAAGTGACAGATTTACTCTTTACACTTACCGGATACTTAACTAGAGTACCAAGTTCTTGTGCCGTGAATTAATTTTGTTTTGTGGGAGGGGAGGGAGAGGAAAGAGGGAGTGCTATCTCTGGGGAAGCCCAGGGAGAGAGAATATCCTTTGTTGGGAAACTTGTGTTTATTGCTGCTGCCTTGGTCATGACCTTTGCCTTTCCTTTTCCTCTGGTGGCCTGTTGTGGCATTAGAGGTTGATGGCAATCAAATCATATCCCGTTGGAGTTGGGAGTGAAGTGGTTGGGGGGGGGCGCCTCTTTCCCCATCCCTCACTGTGAAGGAACATATTCGTTGACTATAGCACACTGGTGTTTAGAAAAGAAGGGGTACAAATGACATCCAAGACTTTGTTGCTTTTCTCCCAGACCAAGACCATAGGAAGAAGGAGTCACATCACCCGGCCAGGTTAGCCAGAGTACAGGTACACATAGTGCAGGGCACATGGTTTCCACTAGCAGGGGCTGGAGCAGAGCACAGGAGCTGAGTAAAGAGAAAGGGGGGAAGTGCTTCGGAGATCTCTCTTCCCACACGTGTAAATAGTCAATACCAGATAAGTTTAAATAAGAAACTCAGTTGCTGCTTACTTTTTGATTATATACTTTATCTGTATAGCAAGCTTTGTGGTCAGATGTTTTTATATCAATTTAAATTGCTGCTCTTTAGCAGCTGAACAGGAGCAAAATGTAAAATTTTTGAACTTTACTGTGTCTAATTGTCATTCGTTAGTCTGTAGTTGATGTTTAAAGTTAATTTATGACTCCATGATCGTTCCACACTACATCGAAGTCAGTCCGTAGAGAAGTGCACCACTCCGGAGAGCTTATCATAAGGGCAGTCATTCCTTTATGTGTACTGGCTGGAGTTGTCTTCGTTTCCATGTTACTTTTTAATATGAAATACTTAAGCTGCCATGTAGGTGTGTGTGTGTGTGTGTGTGTGTGTGTGTGTGTGTGTGTGTGTGTCTGGGCGGGTGGGTGGGTGAGTGTGAGTGTGGGGTTTTTTTTTCTTTTACAGTTTTCAAGGAAGAGTACATAGCAACTTCCCATTTCCTAGTCAGAGAATGACAGTAGATGCTATTTTGTAACACTGAAAATGCCTCCAGGTGCATTGAATGCTTAGAAGGGGGCTACTTTCTGATGCTGATCCTGACATGTTAATGTTTTGGAAGACAGATTTGAATTTTTGTGGGTCTTTCCCCACTCAGGTCCGAGTAGCAATGCCTTAAATCTTACCCAATTCAAAAACTGATTTGTTCACATGATGTTCAAATTTCCCAGCAAAAGCTGTTTTTCCAAACAAAGTATGTACTTATTCTCCCCCAAGGTACTTGTTGCAAACACTCCTTGAGATTTTAAGGGAATTCTACTATTGTACCCTTGAGTGGCAGCTCTAACTGTTGGCATAGCCATTTGTTATGTAGTGGTAGTGACTTTCCTGCTATGCAGGAACCCTGTGAAGTGTGCATTTTATATGACGTGTGCCTCTTCATGCTGTCTCTAATTTCTTGTTAATGTGTGTTTGAGGGGCTTTGAGCTTCAGCGTCATTCACCCACGAAGTTATTCAAGTTGTAAAAGGTTATACAAGAAATTAACAACTACCTTTTTATTCTGTCAGGTTACTGAGCTCACTTTATGAAAATGGCTGTAAATACTTAGCATGACAAATTCAGTAACTTGTCTATTTCAGCATGCATAAGACTTTTTCTTAGGGAAACCGATACAGCTTGAGTCAACTAAATCTGCCTTCGTACTCTATCAAAGGAGAACCAAGGCTGCTGTGCTTATGTCAGCATCTGGAAGATTCTCCTCTACTCGAATCTGTGTGCACATCTCTAAGCAAAGAAGAAACAACAAACTGTGCTCATATACCCGTTGGTTTTCAACACCTGAGTCAACTTGAATGAAGGACAGTCTGAGTTACCATCACGCACAAGTAGAGCTGCTCTTGGACTTGCTGTTCTTTTCTCTGTGAACCCTACACGTTTGAATGACTCAAACACTGCATCTTTTAAAGTTATTTTGTAAGGTTCCTTGGCATTTTATCCTCGTTGTCCGTGTTTGGCAATGTGCTGTTAAAGAAATAGACTTAATCTATATGTATTTTTTGTTTTCCCTTGGAGTACTTGGACAGATGTTATAGTGGTTTCTTTTAGGAAAATCTGTCATTAAAAAAATTATAGCCTTGCAAATAACCACTCACCATATTTGAGTCACAGTTTATTCTAGTGAGTAGTAAAGAGTGCTGACTTCATTTGTTTTTCTACCTATACACCTACTGGGAAAGCAGGGAAGACTGATATTTTAAAAAAGAACAAACAAAACTACCAGAACATAAGGTATGGGGTTGCTAATCTGGGGGGCTTTTGTGTAAGGCTGGACATATTTGCTTGTGGTCACAATTGGACCATTTAAGAAATGACACTCAAAGCAGTCAAATTCTGTCACACTGATTTGTAGCCTGTTAGCTCGGTAGTGGATAATGTCTTGAAAATGTTAGTTCCATGATATGGGGAGAGTAGATTCTGTGTCCAGTTAGGTAGAAAGACCATCCACAAGTTTGATTGAAAGCAGGCTCATGCAAATAGCCCTTTTTCTGAGTTAAAGAAACTCTCTCTGTACATGAGCAGTTTCATAGGTTAGGGTTTGCTGACAGCAGCTTTGTCTAGCAAAGGCACCAGCCAAATTAGTTCTGAGTTTTGTTGCCAGCTTGTTTGTTTATGATCCAGTGAGAGACATAGGTAGTGGGTGTACACACATCTCCTTTCTGGAACAAACCATGTTTTCTAATTCACAAATAAAACCCAACGTTCAATTTGAGTAAGTACATTCGTTAACCTCACTCAGCACAGGAGTGTAAAGAGATGAAGTGTAGGGACGCCTGGCTGGCACGGTTAGTGGAGCATGTGACTCGATCTCAGGGTTGTGGGTTTGAGCCCCATGTTGGCAGGGGGTTTCTTTCCTTAAGTTTATTTAAGTTACTTTAGTTACTTAAACTTAAGTTTACTTAACAAAAAGAGATGAAAGTACTGATGTTTTAACTTCATCAGGCAACCCTTGATAGGTAGCACCTCTCACAGATGATGCAGTATAAGGTGTGAGGCTTGGAATAAATTGGAAATGATAATACTACTAATTCTCATTTTTTGAGCCCCTCTTAGATACAGGCTATGTGTAAACATGGGCTTTTTTTAAATCTACATTTCATTTTAATCATGCTGTGAGAGCACATTCTTTTTTTTTTGAGATTTTATTTTTATTTATTTGACAGTACAAGCTGGGGGAGAGGGAGAGAGAGAAGAAGCAGGTTCTCCACTGAGCAGGGAACCCAATGTGGGCTCGATCCCAGGCCCTTGGGATCACAACCTGAGCCGAAGACAGATGCTTAACTGACTGAGCCACCCAGGTGCCCCAAGTACATTCTATTTTTCTCATTTCACAGATGCGAAAGATGAGGTGCTGAGAGGTCACACTGTTAGTGACAGAGCCAGGACTGAAATCCAGTCCTGATCAAAGTCTAGATCATTAACTACTGCTCTAGTGGCTCCAGTGAAGGGCTATGGGCTAATCCATCTTGAGAACTAGAAGGATGGTTCGGGATTTCCATCTCCTGCCCACCACTTGCTTGACATCAGGCCAGGGTAGGGTCGGGCATGAAGTCTTAGCACTGTCCCTCAAAGTGCATTTGCTGCACTCTTGGCTGCCAGACATGAGTTTGCCTGGTTGGGAAGTTTCTTGAATTCTTGGTAAAGTGACCTCCTGTGTCTCTTTGAGCCCATTAGCAAGGCAACCTAGCTAGCACCATGCCTTCCCACTCTGCCTTCCACCATTTTCACCATCTTCTGTGGCAGAGCGTGTGGTCCTGAATAGTGGTTCTGTGCCCATGTCATTTGGCATAGTAGAAAAATCCCAGGCTTTGGAGTTACACAGATCTGGTTTCAAATCCAGGCTCCACTATTTGCTTATCATGTAATGCCAGCTAGTTACTTGACTTTGCCAAGCCTTTCTACTTCCTTAGCTATAAAGTTAATTCATTCGGGAAATATTTGAGTGCTTACTTTGTGCCACATGCAGTGGCTGTAGTAGCAAACAACTCCATAACAATCCCTGCTCTCACAGAGCATATTCTACAGGAGATGCCAATAACTGTTTCATGGGGTTGTTAGGAATCACAACATGCAAGAAAGATGGAGTGCCTTCTGATAGGGGAATATCTGTCTTAAATCATCAGATGATAACATAAGATACAGTCACCATAAAGGATAACTGTATGATGGCAGAGTACTGGAGGCTGGGAGAGGGGACTATTGTTGTCTGGTGTTAGGGGAGCAGGGCAGATATTCCTGATGAAGTGGTAGTTAACTGAGACCTTGAAGCTAAGCAAGGGGTCAACCAGATGAAGGGGGGTGAGGACAAGGAGCATTCTGGGCAGGGTGAACAGTGACAACTCGTCACCTATTACTGATCTTCCACACAACCTTCCTTCCAATCAAATAGCTACTGAGTGACAAACATACCATGCACTACGCTATATACATAGAGTGAGGAATAAAATAGACACAGGCTACCGTCATACCACTTGTGTTTCACGGTGGATGACAGCACCCAACGGTTGTAACAAGGGGCACCTCATAGCCAAACCTGTCCCTGCGACTTCCTCCACTTAAGACCTTTCTGCTTTACCTGCAAGGCAAGTCCATGCCCTCTGTTTGCATATAGCCTTTAGACATTTGAAAAGAGCTGGTATGTCTTCTGGGTCTTTCCGTCCCCAGCTGACAACCCCATTCTCTTCCTATCTTCTGAACACGCACCAGGAGTCTGTTATTCTAGA